CGAATAACAATGGTGACCCTTGGCTCCGTAGTGAAATTCGCCGCATTATCGCGATATCCATGTCATTGTTTACTTTAAATCGACTTTCAAACAATAGCCCAGCCATGTTGATCGTGAAAGTGGGTTCCTACATGAAATATGGAAAACATTGTTAGATAAGACCTTTTGGGTAATAATACGATCGCAATAACGGCTGTTTTCCACTTTAAAATTCTTTGTCTTGAATCGTAACGTGTAATATTAATTGCGTATATCTAGGCGTCGTAAAAGACGATGGCTGTGTGTGGGAAGGGAATTTACATATTATCTGCATTTTGAATGTAGTTTCGAGTTTACCAGAGCGTGTTTGCTGTTGTCTTTATTTTTAATGCTAACGTTTTTTACTAAATTAAAACCTCTATTACACTTATCTCAAAAACTAAGCCGCAATGCTTGTGCAAGTGTCCCAGTGTAGTGTAGATTAAATAACTAGATAATATCCGTGCGTCAATATCGGTAGTTTAAAAACGTGTTGAAGAATCATGTGATGATACCATTTATCTTAAAAGATAGTAAATTATCTTCAAAAAAACAAGGATGTTCAATGATATTTTGCCGTTTACTGTCAGTCATAAACTCTGACGGGGGTATATAAAAAGATAAATAAATTGGCATTCATTTTATTCTTGCTTTCTTATCACAATATTATAATAAATAGACATACACACTTGTTCTTATAATTTGTATATTATACATACATTACAATGCAATTATTATCATTAGACATTAGAAAGCCGCATTCAGTATCTTTGATGAAACATTCTCTTCATTGAAACCTATTTCATTAAGACAACCATAGTCGCGAAACCAGGTTGCGCGACCAACTTAATGTACAGTTCTATGCAGGGTATTAAAACCGGGTGGTAACTTGATTGCGCAACCTAGGTGCAGCAGATTATTCGACCATGCGATATCCTAATGAAATAGTACCCTTAAAATTTCTCCAATTTCACAATAAATATGTACCATTAAGTATACATCTTTACATTCATATTCATTCATTTCATGGATCATTAACATTAAAACCGGCAACTGGGTCCGTTTAAGTATGTAGTGGGACATGATTTCATATTATGTCATTGAATCAACTTAGTTGCTATTAAATATGCAAACATCAACTGTACCACTATGGAATAAGGTTTATAATATCAACTCAAAATTATTTCTATTGACGTCACTTTAGTTTTTTACATAAGATTTAAAAATCTGCAATGAAATCGAGCGCATTTGACAGCCCAAACATCAACTGTACCACTATGGAATAAGGTTTATAATATCAACTCAAAATTCTTTCTATTGACGTCACTTATTCGTTTGTAAATAAGATTATAAAATCCGCAATGAAATCGAGCGCATTTGACAGCCCACGTTAGGGCGTTAATAATTTTAAAATTAAGAATAAAACACGGAAGATGCCTATATCAAAATTACCTACATATTGCAATTAACTGCTTAACTAAAGTTTTAGTTAAACCAGTCAACAGTGTAGGAAATAAAACGAAAATTTCGTTATAACTTATTCATTTCATTATTTCTAATGAAGCTCTTTATTTAATAGGTCCAGCCTATTGATTAACTCCATATAATATTTGATTGAACTAAATACACATAAATCTGAAATCGTAAACCTATGTGCAGGTCATAGAGCTCTGTAACTCTCTCGTCAACTATCTTCAAAATATGAAATATCCTTTTTAGAAGAGTAAGAGTTGATTAATATAGATTTTTTTTAAGAAAGATTTTACTCAATCTTTGGACATAAACGTATGACTTACTGCCAATCTAACATTGATTCTTAAATTCCTCTTCGTATTTCGGCTGAATTTAATAAGTGTTTTATTAAATGTAATATCAAATGCTCGAATACTGAAAGGTTACTCAATTTTAAGTTGTAATTAAATATCGTGCCATCTCTGTCGTTTTACAAAGAATTTGTAGTGACAGAACTAGACCTATACACGACTTAAAATGGAGTATTGGTTTAGTATTCGGGAGTTAGTTAATTTTTCCATTATCGAATGCACAAACAAAACAATACAAACAAATTTGAAAAAAGAACAACAAAAAAAGAAAACATAATCACAGATGTCCACTAGGACATGGACATCAATAATATGATATGAATTAGTTCATAATACATGCAATCATTCTTAAATCATATAACAATGGATATTTACTTAATTATAAAAATGTCCTGCACACCAACAGATCAATTCGTCAAAAGCCTATTCATGTCGTCAGACTAATAAAATAGTTTTTATTCCTTCCACAGGAAGACACAGGATACAAACAAAAACTGTTGTGATTGGGAATTTGAGCCCTAATTCATAAGTCATTGTAATCTAAATACAGTTTTATGGTAAATATAATTATGACTGGTGTCAACTTGGTTGCACAACCTACAAAATGTATATAGTTGTAAATAGGATATGTAACCTGGGCCAAACGCCACTTTAGCGCTTGTCTACAGCGAGAGTAGAAAACTAAATGTATGGGGATGACACTGACAAGTGTCAAAATTTACGTCAATACCATATAATTTGGTTTTCTATTCTACATGTAGACAAGCGCTTAGTGGCATTTGGCTACAGCTGCTGTGCCTTTAGCCAAACGCCACTTTAGCGCTTGTCTACAGAGAGAGTAGAAAACTAAATGTATGGGGATGACACTGACAAGTGTCAAAATTTATGTCAATTCCAATTTGGGTTTCTATTCTACATGTAGACAAGCGCTAAATGGCATTTGGCTACAGCTCCTGGTGGCTGCTTGGTAGTGCAACCAAAAAGTCGTTGGCGACTAAATGAACGTAAAGCCAAGGATAGGTACACTAGGGGGCAAATATCCCGCGACACTTGTCGCCAGCTACGTCGGGTGAAGTAGTGCGACGTTGCCGGCTTCGCTCACATGTCGCCGATACAAGTCTTGCGACATTTCTCCGGCAGTGTATCCTTGGCTTAAGTTGTAAGACGTCGCCAACGATTACGCAACTGCTCGTCACACCATATTGACAAAATTAAACAGTGCTCTGGATCTGGAAAGTAGACCCCAGACTGACAAATCTTTCAATCGATTTTCGACTTTATTTTGTTACAATTAGTTTGAAAATGAATTGAAAAACCAAACGACAGATTGTACTTGTAATACGGTTACCCGTATTATTGGACAATGGAGTTTATATCGTAACTTTAACAACATAAAGTTCTATATCGCGTATACTGTTTTGTTTTCCGAATCCCTATTGAGCAAGCTCTAGTCATAGGACTGCCTGTATAATGGACGGCAGTATTATTGTCCCGAATAGATTAGAAGTGCTTTCGAATATAGAAAAAAGTAAGTCGTTAGGTCGTATTTGATTTTCAACTTTATTATTTGGTTATAAAGGCGTAAATCTTACGACTTAACAAGTGGTATGGTCAAGGCTGCTAGTGTTGCTTCAAAATCATAGAAAATTAGGTGACTATTACAATAAATTATAATTTCAAGCGTCTAGTATTAAATTCCTAGCTAAAATATTAGTACCTTTATAATTAACACATACAGAGATCAATTCACAATTTCATCTCAGATAAACCGTTTATTTGAATTTGGAATGTGTTATTTTATTACGTATGGCAACACCTATACTAATGTTGCTATCAAAAAAAATTAATGATGCTTGCACTATAAAATATATAAGTGACTGATGAATTATTTATTTTATTAATTGTTTATAGTATTTTATTTTGATAGGTAATATAGTTTTATTCACTTCAAGAATTTTGTACTGCTATGAACCTAAATGTACTAAATTAATATTCGATTGATATATATATTTCGAAATTAATTATGTATTTTGTGACATTGTGCATGATACATTCAGTTTCGCTGATGACATTAAAATATGAAATAGATGAACGGTAAACTTACTATACATTGATACGACTCACATCGACCACCAAAGCAAATCTACTTGGGCAGAGACAAGTGGCAATCTACATAGAAGAAATAAAAACAAAAAGAACTCACCTTTAAGTACTAACACAATAAGATACATTTTTGAACTGGAAGTACAGAAGCCTACCTACTCTGTCGCTGTTTCTTTATTCGATTTTAAGCTTTACCATATTGGCGATTAATTTTAAAACAAAAGACAGATTAGAGTAGCTTGACTTTGTGTGAATAAAAATAATGAAGACTAAGTTTTGAACTGGTAATACATAAATCCCTACTCTGGAATTAAATCTTTATAGGTAAGGTATTTATCAATTTATTTTTAATGTTGTCAAGTATTTAAATTTGTCATTCTACGTTCATTCAACATGCCAGTTGCCTCAGCCCTATGGTTACGTCAATAAAATAATAAATATGGAGTTTCCTTCGATCACAATTTAATACTATACAGTGACAAGAGAGTCATGATATACGTAAATATTCATAAATGCCCTGTTTAGATTCACATACTGAAAATATAAAAAATACAATTTTGAAAAACGACGTCAAATCTAAAGTATTTTTAAAAGAAAATTTCATATCCTCAAACAATTATAAGTCATGTAAATTAGTTATAAAATTTAAATTAATTAAATTCCTATTTTATAAAGATATTTGTGCCCAAGAGTTAAGCTTCATATTGTTACATTCACAATGGGGGTTGCCATTTTTCTGCTTATACCAGAAAGCGCAAATGTAGAGAGAGGATTTTATCCAGCAGCTGTCAAATGGTGTGACACTATCACGTGACGACATCTAGGCCCCATTCCAAAACATAAAACAATGATATAACAAAGAGTTCCGATTAATTTAGAAAGACTAAATAAAAAATAGTATGTGAATCTCAACAAGACATCATAGATAAAGGTTCAGTATTTAAAAATATAGTTCATCCACACTAGACAGTCTCAGGTATAAGTCTTAAGCAGTATTCACATAGCACTCTGCCCAAACATCAAGGTCCGTATACACTGCCGGTCGATCGTCATCTGTTAGAGTAGGGATTGTTCCACCATTATCTTTTCGAATCCTGTCGGCGGTGGGTAGAGGAAGTTTTCAAAAATCACGTCCAAAATTGCGCCGTCGTCCACTGTAAGTACATTATAAAATAATTTGAAATGAGAAAAAATCAAACTTGAAGTTAGGAAATAATTATATAAAGTAGCCAGATTAATAACTTATTAATTGAAGTATAGTGAATTATATTCTAAGTAAATATACTATGTTCATCTTATTTTTTAAACACTCATTCGTACTTATAGTACGCGACCTTACATCGTAACGTATTCTACGATCAATTATGCTTCAACCCGAATTAACAAAATCAATAAGTTTGCCGCACGCGATTAAAACAAAGCATTGCATCCAAATAAAAATTAAAAACTCACCATAGAGTGCAGGATAAACTGTTCCTCTAATATTACTGACAGGAATCTCCATATTCTTTCCATTCAGGAAGAAATTCAGGTCTACATGATCATAGGCCACACCGATAGTGTCGCCCTCTACTGGCATTACCGCCGCAGTGCTTGTCCCTTTGTCGCTCTCTGGTTTATCATTTTCATGGGTCGGTGATTCCGTTGACACAAGTAAGTCGGCTGTGGGCGACTCTCTCGGCGCCTGCGCAAGGTGGTAGAGTTCGATATTCGAGTGACGCACCGTTCCGTCGCTGTTGAGACACCATGATTCTTTGTCCATACCACCTGCAATGTTATTGGGATAATGAGAATTTTTGTTATTTGGTTTCACTGTTATTAATTTGGCTTAAAACATCTTATGTGTCTTTATGTCCAGTGCTCAGTAGAGCAGTGAAACCCTTTATAAACAATGCATTATCTTTGAACTTAATTTTCAAATGGCACCAGTAACTATTACATACATTTGTAATATTTCCTTAGTCCAATTGTCAACTGATTTAAACATCGCCTTATTATAAGTACGTCATAGTTATGTAAACAGTTACCTCAATGACCCAAATATTAATTTTGGCAACAGACTAACAGAGTCTGCATAGCAATAAATTGAAGGCCATATTGCACCTCATTGTAAAAACCATTAACCAAACATAGACACAGGAAGTGTGTACGGAATACCAAGTTATATTACAATGAGTCTCTTATGAGGCATTTTAGACAATAAAAAGTTGAACTTAACTTATTACTTAGTGTTAAATAAGTACTTTAACAAACACCTTTTTACATAATATTTTTGTAAATTATTCAACGGAGTAGAAATCTGTAAGTTTCTGTCCAACCTAAATTCATGTAAACAATAGGTACCTAATGTTTGTTTGGAAATATGCTTCTTACTTTCTTTATTATTTGTAAAGGCGTGAAAATGAGTGTCAACATTACATAACAATGTGCCGAGTATATTTGGTTTTGTTAATCACTCAGTGTAAAGTGTTTGTCAATGTGTGACACATTAATTTCGAAGAAAACATTTGCAAACATTTGCACTGGACATACTTTTCCTGTGCGTATCCTACTAACCTTCTTTCTATGCTAACTTTAAAACTACCTATTTACAATAACATAGCATGTTCATTCTCTAGCAAGATACAAAACAATGTTTTCTTCCATTTTCTTTTGTGGCTAATCATAACATAGAACAATGAGCAATACCTTTGTTTTAAGCTTAAAACACTACATTCATCACAGGAAGTAACAAAAACACAAAATACTGGACTTGTTATCCTAATTACACCGAAGTGATACAATAGAGGTAGGGATACAAATAATACACAAATAGCTTCTTTTCAACAATAATAATTGTTGTCTTCCTAGTCTGATATGACATGTATTTTAATATGAAAATTCATGCTGGTAAAAATACAAGACAACTTGATATTTCTGTTTAAAAAAAAATTATAATTACCATGTACTCTATTGAGATCTGTTTCCCTGGTAGCTACTCCGACAGCCCACACTCCGCCCTGCTGCAGCTTCACCTCAAAATATGACTTGTTCTGCACCAGTGGTGCATTCCCAAGCGCACAGCCAGAACCGCATACTCTCTGCCCACCCTTTATTATCACCATCTCATGACCTAGAATAAGAATATGAGTTCATTTTTATATTTATTTTAATTTTCCAGTAAACAAAATAGGTCTTTTCATATAATGTTTATTGTATATGAGTAACATTATGTTTGAGTTTAATTAATTTTATTTCATAACATTTTTGTGTTTATCAAGTTGATAGATGTAGATAAATAAAAGCCAATAAAAGCTTATCAATAAGGTTTTATTTCGTTAACTTTATTATTAACTATTAAATTCAATTTGATGTATCAAATAGCCTAGTAGATTTCCCTTGCCTTTTCAAAGACTATGCCTAATTAACAGGTTTCCCTCATACATCATTCATTCTATATTCTGGATGTATTAAGCATGTAGTTTCAGAGATTGTTCAGTAAAACAAGCGCTCTTTTATCCTTCAGAGGCCACCGAACATCCCACGCAATAGCAAAATCGATGCGCGCACTTAACATCCAAGGCTACATCGGTACACGCAGTTTCAACTTAGCTAATTTCACTAAGTAACCAAGTACTTCATTGTTTATAGAAGTAAACACTGTTTGTGTTCATTTGTTCAACAGGATGTAATTAAAATGAACTAAGTATACAAACCCATGTGTAACGTATCCAACTGTACAGGATTTTCCTTTATCCGAATAGGTACACTAGGTGTTAGCGTAAAGCCATTCATACAACTTTTCAGACAACAAAACATGTTGAACTTAATCACTAAAAACCTTTTTCAATAATCAATACACGATTTTATTAGATTAAAATTAGTTTTTGTTGTACTACAATTTACGTCATTTTCTTTTGACACCTTGACGTATCTGACAGTGCTATGTCGCAGTGACATTGACAACTAGAGAGGAACTACATGTGACTCCTTTCCACGAACAAAATATTTTACGGTTTCTAAAAATACGGTTTTTTCCAAATTTAGATACACGTTTAGATCATTTTATTTAGATAATAAATTCGTAAAAAGCTCTTCATAAAATTATATAATATGACTTGTTATAATTTGACTTCTATTACGATCCTATCCACTCCATACGATATCCAAACAAAAATCCTAAAACCTCTTGTGTAATTACTTCGTCAGTTGTCGTCACTCGAGTGGTCACAAACGCGTTTGCTGAACAACAAGTTTCATGTTTGATTCTTATTTCAGGCAAAGTATTATTTACTTAGAAATAGGTAGGTCAGCGGCTGGATTTAGACCCGGTACTTGGGATATACTCACCTCCCATGGCTCCCATTACATGAGACTCATAATAACATAGCTGCTTAATCCAAGTTAAACATTGTTAAAGTAGGTAGGTAACATAGCAACTTGAATGGGCGAGATCAATCAGGGATGTACCATAGAAAACCCTTTCATAGAATACCAGCATGGAGTGGTGACGCAATATATTGTCTTTCGGCTAGTAAAGTGAGAGTTCCGGATATCCAACCCGGTGTTTAATTACACCATTTTCGGGGAACCCTTTTCCATAGAAACGGTGGCCCAATTAAATAGTGCCCTACAAAGGCTGCACTTTAACTGCCACCAAAGACTGTTATAATATACTGGCTAACTGCTACGCACCTGTGGTGCTTACGTCTGGTATCGCCGGTTTACTTACTTAGACTGCTGATTATAATGATCGCTTAATTTAGTAAATAAATTAAGTATGAGTCAATTCATCACGCCTTGTCATAGAAACTAGGCCAAAAAACAATCGGTGGTGAGAAGGTAGGTATTTCTCTTCGAATTAGATGTTAATATTGATTTTGGTTAATTGTACAAACAGCTATTATTTGCATTGTAATCAAACGCTAATATTTAGCGTTATAATTATAATATTGTGCAAGATCAATTTACCTTGAAATTGAGATCGTATTTTTAAATAAATAATGATCGCAATACCTTTTTACCTACTAATATTAATGCGGATACCATCGACTATTTGATAACCTGTTTGCTTTAATTATATGAATTATAAAAGATTTACATTAATATCTAAGCATTTGGTAGGTACGATATTTTAAGAGCCTCATTGGCCATGTGGTTGCTCGTGTGAAATTGCCAGTTAGGGGATCTCGGGTTCGATTAACTAATTGTGTGATAGAAAATAACATATTATAAACAGGATGTCCTATTATTTTTATTAAGTATGAATGTAAAAATAATACGTTATCCTTACTTACACATTTTAGTAATGTAGATAGGTAATAAAATTACCTAAGTTGCTGGTACCGGATACAATAACTAAACACTCAAAGATGACAAAGAATTTTTGAAAGTTAGTCCTTGCGTCATATTAGTGGAGGGCTTTGCACCTGATTGAAGAAAGCTGGTTATCATGGGATGATGTCATTTCGTGACAAAGCTTACTCAAATCTTCTATCTTAAACTTAAATGGAAAGCAATTGCCTACATAGTATGTACCTTCCGAAACCCTGCTTCCGAAGCTTCCGAAGTTTCGTTATTGTTGACATTGTGTTGAGTCAGATTTTGAAGGAAAAGTTAAATCGGAAATCCAGGCGATATTTTTTCCAACTCAGAGATCGAAATTAGGGCTTTGGCTTACACCCTTCCGAGGAAAGAAGCAAACCCTTATGAGTTAAAAATATTTATGGTAATTGTCCTCAACCATACCAGATAGGTACTCAACTAATTTAGAACGGAAAGGTTCAATAAATTACTCTTCTCAAAGGTCCTGGTAGTCCTATCATGTCTGCTTTATCCTTATGTCCTCTGCCTAAAACCAGGCTAAGACTATGAACCTGTCCTTTTGTTTGTATTGAGGGCACGGCCAGAGCCATAACTAAGTGAACCTTGGCAGTAAGCCAGAAAGGTGTTAGAAAATGATTTCATTTGTTATATAACGCAAAGGCAGATCATTTGCAAGAACTTTAGTCAACTTAATGACTAAAACTGCTGGCAGAAAACTGTTGAAGGCATATCCTGAAGTTAATTAGCGACCTCCTTTAGTCTCCTTAGGAACTATGAACTTAAATTATGTAGACAAGCAAGCTAATAATGTGTTGAAAACAAATGTTGGGTATGTATTGTTGGGGCAAGAAGAATGTATACCCTTAAGGTGGATAGAATAGATATCCTGATGAAGCTCCTATAATATAAAGCTCCTTTGACCTTCCCGAGAATCAAACCCGAGACTTTATGCAGCAACTTTGAGAGCACTCGACAAGATTCAATATTATTACGAAACTAGTTTAGTCTACTGTAATAGGACACAGCCGCGGAAGACTTAGCCGGTTGCCAGAGCTTCGGCTCGAAGCAGGAGTAGCCACGCGTAAGACGCCTCACCCAGGGCGGGAGTAGCCATTGGATGATTTTCCCCCTTAAAAAAACCTCAAAAAAGGCTGTAGGAGACAGGTAGTGATGTAGGTAGGGAGGTTCCTACTCTAAGCGACATTTTCTAACTCAGCTAAAACAGATTTAAGTCATTAAAACCTCTTCGCATATATCTAGTTTAGTTACGCTTTCAAGAAACGGAGACATTATTTGGGTTGGTGTTTGTACGGTTGTGTAATATTTGCACACTTTTCCATCATTAGGCAAAGTTCGTTAGGACAATTTGTTTAGCCTCATATACCTTTTTTTTAAAGTAAATATTACCGTACCTTTCGTACTTCAATTCTAGATAAATGACTATCGAGAGATAAATAGAAGTCAAAAAAGAATTTCTCATTCCTTGCTCCGATTTTTTGAACTAATTAGAAGATAAGAAAATTCCTGCAAAATTTTTGTTGATAAGCAGTTTTTTTACCTGGCTGTGGGAAGGGTATTTATTGTTACATTATTGTCCAGCTAGGCTATTCTGAAGAAGTCCATTCAGTTTAACGGCACACCTTTTATTCCTCTATGGGTTAGATAGAGACGAACGCGTTAAATGTGACACCCACTTTTATCCAGTTTTAGCAGGTTTTCGTACAACCGTATAGGTACTACTATATCAGAATTCTCAAAACAATTTAATAAGGTACACTTAATCTGATCCGGGTATAGGATAAATAGAATTGAATACTCATGTTCGGCAGCCACGATTACAACCACTCCACAAAATGAAGACGGAATAGAAGTTAATAAATATGATTTTAATGAAACACTCAGTTAAATACTTAAGAGATCGGTAAGAAAAAAATATTAGGTAGATATCTATCTACTGCATGTTATCTAAATGGAAAATTAGTTATGGAAATTAATTTAATAGAAAAATACACAGGCTAGACTTTTATTTTTATAATAGTATTCCTATTTATTTTAGGATATCACATAATTGTCGGTCATCCAACCTAACTGTATACATACATATAAAAAAAAAGATATCTCTTAGATATAATAAAACCAAAGCAAAGTCAGATGTCAAAGGAAATAAAAAAAACACGTCGACTTTATGATGAGTTTAACATTATGCGAGAATTTCTCAATATACTCAACGAGACATGCCATCGGAAAGAACTAGTTGTGATGATTATAATGATACAATATTCAATATTTTTGTTCAATACCTATTTCTAAATGGAGACCGGTTGTGTGAAGATCCTGTTAAAATTATAAACGAACTTTAGTTAACTGTTGATAACCACACACATGCGTAGGTGGATACGCAACATGGATAGAACTAACCTATTATGGAACCTATTCAAACGAATATCTACAAAATTATATTATATTCCGTTAATGCGTGACACAGACAACGCACAGCCCAAAGCCGAAACTACTGGACCTAGAAAGGTGGAATTTGCATGTGGATAATTGGGTATGTTCCTTGGGGAATGCTAGGGACCACTAAGACAGGATAAAAGCTAATATCTACCCGCATTTACATGGGCATATCGTTCCAGCCGGTAGGGTACTCAACTAAGGTAAGTAACCTATACCTACTACTGCCTGAGGACACGGTGGAACACACAGTGGGGGAATGCCCTGCGTGGGCTGAGCACCGCCATGCCCTCAGGGAAGTAATCGGCGATGGCGACCTCTCGCGTCCGGGCCCAGTGCAGGTCATGATGCGGAGCGAGGGGGACTGGGATGCCGATCCTCCTTCTGCGAAGCAGTTATGCTAGCTAAGGATGCGGGACGCGTGAGGCAGCGAAGCGCTGCCTCCTCGCAACCCAGCCATCGCGAAGGACACACCGGGCGCCGGGGATCGCGGAACGATCTCCGGCCACCGTAAGCGTGGGCCTGCGGACGGCGAGCATCGGTGACCAGAAACAGACCCGAGCGTACGGCGCGTCACATTCCGCGCGCGCCTCAAAGAACCATCAGACCACCACAGATGGGACCCAACAGGGTCGATGCCGATTCGGATTCGCGGAAAACCGGGTTACCGGGGCTCCGATTCGACGTGCAGGAGAAGGAACGGGATGGTTTTTAGTCAGTAAGAGTCTGACACTCCCTCCCGCCTCACCCAGGCGGGAGCAGGCATTCGATGATTTTCACCCCTTAATAAAATACCTACTACTAAAATATCTATCATTTGTACAAAGGTTCAATTTCCGAGATCCAGGTCACATGAGCTATACAATTTTGATTTTGATATTCGTGTATTTGTACCGGTTTATTGTAAAGGCATATTGTATAAAACATGGCCACAAATTAGTCTGCCTATATCCCTTTCGAAATTGAGAGACGAGGGTAGAGTTGATTGCAGTGTATTTTGATGTTAGTATTAGCATTTTAAGTCTATTATATTTTTATATTCGTTTTCTGCTATCTCCAATCCGCCAGCCAAGCTTGAAGATTATGTATGAAAACGCGCTTATGCCGAGAAAGCTCATAGTCTAGCGGTGGACCACCGCCACCGGGTTGATTATGATTTAAGTGTAGGAGAGCCATGCTTTAACGTGTCTAGTGTTCCGAGTGTCCATGGGCGGTGCCGATAGCTTGCCATCTGGTGATCCGTCGGCTCGTTAACCGTTTATATCCCATAAAAAAAAATTATGATGGTGATGAATCACACTTTCACTCAATTAGGTATTCGAAAGACTTCTGAATCATTTTTCATGCTAAAGAGAGCTATGTTTCGGCTGGACCAGTGATACTACAGTCTTACATTAGAAAATAAAAAATCTTCAAAGTTAGAAAGAAAATAAAAAACCTGAGCCTGGTTCTATCGTGTAGCCTTACAGCCAAAATGAATCTAATTCAGCTAAATGGAAATCGATTAAAGCAATATAGCTTAGCTGCCAGGTCACAACTAGTCAAAGTCAGCATTGTGTGTGTCACCCTGCTCATCATTATCGGTGGGTCGCAGCCACTACTAATTGTTTACGTTTCCCATGCCAAACATTTTAGTCTAATGTTTATATGAACGCACTTCGGCACTGCGGTCTCTTCGTACCCTTCATGTTAGTACAGGATGTATAAAAATTTAGACTTAGATAATAATGGCATATTAAAAATATCCGTTACTCCATTTCGCCCATTATCTATAGGTATTGACTCTAAAGAGTCTAGAGTAGGTACATACGTACTTCCTATTCTTTTGTATCATGCATCAATTTTAGCTTTAAATTCATTTCATCACGATCACAGTTAGCTAGCCTTAAACTTAAGTCAGCTTTAGTTAATATTTTTGTCGTATTATTCTCTTGGTTATCTAACCCACTACCGATCTTTATGCTGAAGAATCTCACAATCTTTTGAATATTGTAAGTATTATTTCATTCATAATTACAGAGTCTTTATAAGATAATTAATATCAGACTGATCACTCCTTACAACACAGTAACAGGTCCCTGTGCTGTAGGTACCTGCCTACATTATAATGTATGACTTTCTTTTTGACACGCGTGCCGACTGCCACGCAAATGTCAACTTGTAGCATGTTCCTTTAGATCTGTGTAGGTATAAGTAGGTATTGTATAGTAAATACGATATGTGTGGTCATATTACTTTGAACTTAAATTGTGGCAGAACTAAATAGTGCTGCCGCATAGAATCTACAAATCACACTTTCTTCGGTAAGACAAAAGGTATTAGTTTTAATATGGAGTGACAGAAGCCTTCCTTCTGTTGATTCCGAAACTTTAGTAAAATAAATTCTAAAACTAATTTTTAAACATGCTAATGCACCTTGCCTTGTCCAACCTTGGCATATTTAACACATTTTTAGGTGCGAAAACACTTAAAAAACTTCTTTTTCAAGTCCAATTTCATAATTCGGACCAACAACTTCCATATATTCCCCTTTAGATTACTTTGGTTTTTGATTTCTTAATGCTAAAATCACCATTATACTGCGCATGAAGTTCGTGTTATAGGAGGTGCCTTTACACCTAATCTTTAAATTTCTATGCATTTTGAATCTACGAGTCTTCACTTTCATTCCCAGGCTAGGTGAACTTAAGTTTATCTGTGAACGCATGAGGTTAGGTCATAGAAAATGTGGCTGTGACAGGCCTACCATAATCCTATATAATTATATTGACTTCATCACCGAATGGTTTTGGAGACGTATAAAAACACCTATATTTACGTCGATTCGGACGATACCCTACCCAAACTATAGCATTGTTATTGCAGATTATATTTATAAACAATCTTATTCCGTATGCAAACGGAAACAGAGAATAGTAAATAGGTTTTGTCGTTGGTGTAGGACAATCGGTTGATAAAAGTGCCTGGCTTGGATTAACTGGATATATATTATAAATAGTACTGCAGACATGAAGATAATCTTCAGTAGCCCTCCAGCTTTGGTAACGAGAAATAAGACAAGTAATATTTTTTACATGTTATAGAAAACAAAGCTGAGGGATCAGTTACAAAAAAAAATTCGAGCCTGTTATTGGAAATTGTAAGCAAATACATTTTTGTTATCTACTTTTCTCTACATTTATTTGATTTATTGTTCTATACATTTAAAAAAATATCTTTAAATGGAAAACATCTTTGAGGACTACCAAAAATACGATCAAATCAGTGTTATATTTTTTATGTCTGTCGACAGGCATTTGACTGGCATTAGAGCAGAATTCACGTGACCTAAGTGACACTTGTGGCACCACCCCGAAGCAAGGCAAGGGTGCGCGTGCGTCAGATCATCCGCGCGCCGACTTCCTCCATATAAAACGAACGCTCGACGCAAACGCATCAGTTTGTGACGACTCCCTCAGACACACACTACACACGGTGAGTGAATTTACCTCTTTTATTTTATTTTTTTATTAACCTTTAACATGTTAGTGATCAGTAATAGTAAATAAAATAAGTGATATAATTTAGTGATTATTGAAAAATTTTGCCAAAAAAGATAAAAAAAATAAAATACCTACCTATTTTTTCGTGAATAAATTAATAAAAAAAAATTAAAATATTTTAAAAATTACTAAGAAACGTACAGGAATGAATATAGCTGCTAATTAACCATAACATTATCATAATTTATGTCGTAACTGGTCGCAAGCTTCACACGGATCGACGCAATAAAGCTATAATCGAGTCGGATTCGATTAGTTTATAGGAATTTTGTAATGATAGACCTCGGGGAAGTGTCGAGTGGAATGAACTTCATTTAGTCCCGGGCAAGGTCGCTTTCTAACATAGGACCGGTCTGTAATCCCGGGATCTTGCGCAATCATTCCCGGGTCTGTTTGTAAACAACTACCTACTCATATTATATAAGCCTATGTGTGTGTGCGCTTTCCTCAAAACTTATAATACGAGTAGCTATTAATACTAGTCATTGTAGTAATAATGAACTTAATTTTTAAAAATAGGTTCTTACTGTAGAATAAAACAAGCAAGATTTTCAAAAGTTTCAAATAATAACTCTTGCTGTTTGGTAATTATGCTTTAGCTCACTTAGGTACTTACCTACGTGCTAAGTCGGTTCCTACACATTAAGATAATGTTCGACGTAACAAGTAAAAGTTAAAAGAAAATTTTCTGAGAACTAAAACGTGACTAAGATACAAAATGGATACAAATATTTTGAAAGTTCTTTTAAGTATTCAAGTGACTGAAGTACTAAAAATAGATTAGCGAAACTCTGTTAAAATTATGCAAGTCGAACTAGTTACAATACATTTTACAAAAAAAAATAATTCTAAGAACCACTTCCCTCCCTCCATCCATTTAGAAGTAAATGGATATAAGAATATTTAGGTAGCTGTAGCATTGCCAATAATTTCGTAAAGGGAATCTCGCTAGTTCGGTGAACGAGTCTAATGTCTAAAGACTTGAAAAAATCTAACATTAAAAAATAAACAGACCCTTGGCAATAAATCTTCAATTTAGTGCAAGTCTTAGAAAGCACTATTCTTTTGCCTTGACATACCTACAGCTTGATTAATTCAAAGATTTATACTGATATCGTATTTATTTGATTGAACCTTGACCGTCATCATTGTAAATTTATTTTAGGAAAGTTCCGGGTTCTCGTATTTTTGTTTTACTAAGCACATTACATAAATCCGAAGGTCCGTGACCTTTGTGGGTTTTTATTAAGTATAATATTGTACACTGGGTACGGGCAGGTATTATGGCACAAAATTAAATAATTGGAAAAACCAGTTTTTCTACAAAAACTGGTCCACACAGTTAGGATCGCATTTCTGTAAGACCTATTGAAGACAATAAAAATATTTATTTGGATTTAGCAAACAAGTTTTTATTCCTATGATCTTAAAAGCCATTTAGCGAAAACAACCGATTGTTCTAAGGTTCGGTTTCGGTAATTGTTCCACGCACACATAAAACCCTTTGTTAACATCGACGTAAGGGTCAAGCAGACAATAAGATGGGAATGCATGACATCATGTGACACTTTTGACAGAGTTCTAAACTTCTAACCCGCATAAAAAGATGCGTAAGACATACTCAACTGTGTATTATTATGCTAAATTACTCGTTCGCACTTTCATAATTTGTCAATGGTCGTAGTAAAATATTTTACGACTATGTAAACGATGTAAAATGGTGTCAACGTGTGCGTAAAACTGATGGAATATGCACTAATGATTCATTTATTCAAACATATTGTAATAAATTTGATAACATCTCGACTTTTAAATTAAGTTCGCTCTGCAAGCCCATTTATGAACCTTGTCTACCAATCAGGTCCAGTTTCCTACCTGCATTTGGGATTGTTAGTATTTCGCGTTAGCGGTGGATAAATTCATCGATCTGACATAATCTATAATTCCAGAATAAGTATATTCTCTGGACTCAAAGCCTTCCTTCTTTATCCCCAAAAATAATGGTCAATTTTGTTGTTGCAGAAAATGAAACAGTTGGTGTTGTTAGCCCTTTTCGCGGCAGCCGCGCAGGCGCAGTTCCTGAACGGAAGGATCCTGGAACCCCCCGTACCCTCATTATGTGTACAGAGGACCATCCACGAGAGATATGTGGACAGTAAGGACATTTTCAAAAATATATTTTAATATAGGGTTGGTCTACAAAATCGGCACATGTAATTTTATTTTGTTATTGATGAATTTAGATTTGGGCCTTAGGTAATAGACTTAATTAGTGTTGTGACGTAATATAACTGATTAATAATGTATTTAATGTTAATAACCGATTTATTTTAATCAATTATCTCCAATAATAACCTCTAGGATGGTGACCTCTATCTATATTCCATTCGAACCTACAAGAGCTTAATAATTAACGGAATGCACCATAATTTCACCATATTTGGCAAAGACCGAACCATTTATTTCCATAAAACATTTTACTGAAGCGAAATGAGTAATGATTATTTTAATTAAACAACAAGTGGACACCAGGAAGCTTTTATTATCAGTTTACGCGAAATATATTTATGTTAAATCTTGAATTCTTTAACCCGTCTTCACCATAAAAGAAAACAAAAACTTGGAAAACAACAAAAATGTTGAAATCGTTACCTTCTTATTTTGTCTTTGTGGAAGGGTTTAAATACCCTTTAACACTTTAAAGATTTTTAATAATTAAGCGAATTCAAAGACTCATGTAGGCACAAATACAACTATTTATGAATAACTCCATGTCTTTAAGAGCCCATATCTAGCCACAGACAGAATGAGCAAAAAAAATTAATAAGACCAAATATTTATGAGACAAAATAATCTAAAAGGATGGATTTAGCTTTAAACTTTAAAGAGTTTCGAATCGACCGTATAAATCTGAAAGTTGGTGCCTTATCTCCGCTGCACTTTTGTAGATAGGTACTTAACTTACTACAAGTACAACAACGCTTTGGGCCTATGACGATCTGAGATAACATTAGAAACCCGTGACTCCTGTCATAGGAACTCATCTAAAAGGTGCAAGCAGCCTTATCTCCCATAGATAACGTGAAACCGGTCCGCCATACCACCATGCGCCTGCGCAACTGGAAATACATGAAATTCTTATGATATCAGTAAACAGTGGAACTTCCGCGTGCAAATAAGCTACAAGTTATGTATATGTCAGAAGTTTTCAACTAGTTTTGTCTGTTTTTGTTGAAAGAATAGAATGTGTTTGCGAATTTTTGCGGGTTCTTCGTTAATTTGCATAGCTTTGTAACTAATAGGTATACCTATTCTCTTTCAACGCCGTGTTCGCAGTAGGTCAGTTGGTGTTCGCAAATTTATAAAAAAAATGGGTTTGTTACATCCTGTTCCATCGATCATAGCAAGCTTCTTCAACTAAAGTCAGTTTTTTTACCTACTTCAGCTCTTTGGGTCAATCCATAATAAAGATTTTTGTTCGTTATAATTAGAACTTTTTGTTATTACTTGGGAAAATTTCATCTATGCAATAATCAGCCCGCAGTTTTAAATTAATTGAAACAAAATTCAGAGATCCCATTTCATCCGTCCGGGATAATATTCAATGTAGAAATCTACCCACAATATCCATTCTTAGTACCCATAACTAAACCTGCGTTAGAAACCGCATCAATCGTCACCTCTTCCGTCAGAATATCGAAAGCGAATATTTTCTATCCACCATTATTTCCCACGCGATTCTCGAGTAATATCGCGAACTATTGTTATTTGCGGAAGAGATCGAAACATTGAACCGTTTGAAGTGCAAGGGTTATGTGGAGTTACGACTGTTGTCTTCTAGTGTGGCTACATACACATTTAGTAACAGGAACAACAACAACTGACACAATTTCAAAATGCTACCGAGAATTCACGAACGTATGATCTGGGGTTAGGGTTAAAAAAATGAACAAATGGATCAGCAATAGAGCAGTAGGCCACCCAGCGAATTTCCTAAAGTCGTTGGAAATAACGTAGAACGGGCTTTATAGACCGGTTACATGAAATAGGTAGGTTCATAAGTACCTCCACTTATGAGATTCGAAAGTGAGTTTAAGGGTAAAAAAAAATAGGTCGTGCAGGACGATGCGTATTTCCGCCTTAACTCGTCGAGTACCGGTTTTATAGACACAATTAAAGAACAATAGGTCGCGGTCACCGGTGACCGCTTGGTGTTTGACAGTTTAATACGAGTAGAATTAGTACCTACTTATTTAACAAACAAGACCAAAATATGAATATCCCAACTCAAGACAATTATTTAACATTAGTCAGCACATGGACCATACAACAGTGGTTTATGTATACTGACAGTCAAAACGTTCAGCAAAGGCGCTCATAATGTAACCAGCAGCTGTAGCCAAATGCCATTTAGCGCTTGTCTACATGTAGAGTAGAAAACCAAATTATATGGAATTGACGTAAATTTTGACACTTGTCAGTGTCATCCCCATACATTTGGTTTTCTACTCTACATGTAGACAAGCGCTAAATGGCATTTGGCTAGCACTGCAGGGCCTCTAGCCAAACGCCACTTTAGCGCTTGTCTACAGTGAGAGTAGATATCAAAATGTATGGGGATGACACTGACAAGTGTCAAAATTTACGTCAATTCCATATAATTTGGTTTTCTATTCTACATGTAGACAAGCGCTGCAGTGCTAGCCAAATGCCATTTAGCGCTTGTCTACATGTAGAATAGAAAACCAAATTATATGGAATTGACGTAAATTTTGACACTTGTCAGTGTCATCCCCATACATTTTGATATCTACTCTCACTGTAGACAAGCGCTAAAGTGGCGTTTGGCTAGAGGCCCTGGCTTTATCGCCAATGAGTTACTCATTAAAACATATGTCAACCTGTTCGACATAGATGCCAAGTTGTAAGTTGGCCCAATTAACATGCATGTTCTCTGTTTAGACAAAGGTTACTTCTTCTCATGGAGAGACCCTGCCCTCCGTGGCGTTGAGGAAGACTGGTTGAGCGCCAGGAACTTCTGCCGTCAGCGATGCATGGACCTCGTGTCTCTGGAGACCAGCGACGAAAACGAATGGGTTAAGGCACGCATCGTGCAGGACAAGGTAAGCGATATATCTAATTTTTTCCCATTAAGTAAAACCGGTAGATATTCCAAGAAATCAATATTTTTTCGAATTTAGCTTTTTGAAACTTGTTAGAAAATATTTATGACGTTACACAATGTTTATATCCGAAGCGGAGCCTCATGTGATGTAAGATGACAGTAAAACATAATCAAGTTCTCATTTCCATTATTAGAAGTTCATTAACGACGTTGACGCAACGGTTCAAGTTTTGAATGGATAACAGATAGCGCGCCGCGTTTATTGAATTTTAAATATAACCGAAGATTCTAGAAGAGCCCTCGCATTGGAACTGTCCCTGACTGAGGTCATATGACTTCACCAGTTTTGCTGTTGCCAAAGCCTAGCAAATGTCCACACGTGTTTGGAGTTCAAACACACAAGGAAAACTATCGTGACCGTGACGTGAAAACATATTACTTTTTCAAAGCTACTTAAGTAGAAAGTGAGGTTCAACATGGAATCTTAAAAAGAGTTCATATTGTGATTTGTTACCCCCGTAATGCGTTTAGACTTTCATTGACAAACCTCTACTGTTGTATGAATAAATTATTCAACTAATGGACCGCGTAATTTGCATTGACATAACTTTTCTATAAACCGCACTTGTACTTTGTTCGCGGTAAAGAAAAATTTAAAGTTTCAGGAACGCAACAATGGACGCGTTGATTTTTCCTAAACGAGTTTCACTATAGCTACGTGTTTCGCATTACCGACGTGGGAAATGCAATGTTTTGTTGTATTGTAAGTTCCTCCCAAGAATAAGTATCAGCACCAGGGAGTAATTAGTGCTTGTTTTTCATATGTAGAAATCTAGATACCTAGTAGTAAAACTTTAACAGGCGGAAAATGAGATCTTGTTGGGTTTGAACTATGACCAGACAGTGAAACTAGTAATGGTAACTACCTAAGTATGTATGTAAGTAGGTAGGTGGGTACTTAGATAAAACCAGACCTACAACTTTCCGTTACCATTGCAAACCATCACTAACCAATGAAAATTTATTCAGCACAGTTATTGAACTCGAATGATCAGATTGTTCCGTTGCCAAACTATCCATTTGCTCGGTTGACACTACATTGTTATGGAAATGAAGTAACACATTCGTTATGTTTCTTACAATCCAATCTAATGCCGTGTGCACAACGATCCTTGATAATTGTGACAAATTGTCGTATTCACTGTGGTATCGCCACGGTATTGTTGGGAATCATCAAATTGTTTCGCCTTATTCGCTTATCTAATAGTCTTCTTTTTTAATGATCGTTTTGCCATTGTTATTTTTTCTTTGTATCCAACAGATAGAATCAAGTAGCTAGGCAGACGAACCGGTAATTGTTCAGTTTACGTGTTCATACAAATAGAGGTTTTGTGTCAAGTACGTCTATAATGAGCCTAGAGACAAATACAAATAAAGTCGAAAATTACTATTGTAGGTAATAAAAATAACCTTTTTCGTACAGCAAAAGTACATCTGGACTTCGGGTCGTCTTTGCGACTTCAAGGGATGCAACCGTCCTGACTTACTCCCCAACGAGATCAACGGCTGGTTCTGGACCGCTGAGCTGCAGAAGCTGGCTCCCACCACCAACCGTCAACAGAACGACTGGTCGGAGGGCGGCGGCATCGGCAAACCTCAGCCCGACAACAGGGTAAGTTCCGCCTACTCATAGTTCCTCGTTAAAGAAATTGTCACCTACCAAATTAAGGACTGGTTCCGCAGTGGATACAATAGGTGCGTAAGAAAGCATGACATTACGAAATCGGTCATAAGTGTGACGCAACACAAGGACCTGATTCCGCGAGCAGTTGAGTAACGTTTGTCATACGCACCCGCCGAACCTGTTAATGCATCCGCACGGATATAACGCAATGAAAACGAAAGCGACACGTGAATATTTATGGGCCTGCGAAATATTCGCCGAAGGGCGTACCCGCATGTCGCGACCACTTTCTACAAACAGCGACCGCAACTTGTACAACAAAAGCTCATCGTTATTCGGCGCGCGTCGTCGCGTTGTTTGCGCGTCACTTTCCCTGCGTGTCGCGCGTACCGGCGACCTGCGCCTGCGCCTACACTGCGGAACAAACAATGCCGACGTAATCCTCTGCGGTCGCACGCGCATCCTCAGCATCCGTTGTCGTTGGGCGTTCAAGGCCTTGCGCATTATGCGGTTATTCCACGCCGGCAGATTGATGTAATGGTTTTGATAATAAAAATAACTTACATCTTATACAAAATTACATCCTTCCCATCTTCTCAGGCATTTAGCCGGATCTTCGGGAGTTTACTTAGTTACGTAAAGTATAGATACCGGTCAGGGTCAGCCTGTCTGAGACTAGACGTATAGATGACTAATACGCTTGACGCTTACATAACTTAAACCTTATTACTGTACCAACAGGAGCTGCTACAGGGAGGAGCTGCAGAACACTGTGTGGCCATCCTGAACAACTTCTACAACGACGGCGTCCACTGGCATGACGTGGCGTGCCACCACCGCAAGCCCTTCGTGTGCGAGGAGAACGACGCCCTCCTGAAATACGTGCGATACACCAACCCTGCCCTAAGAGTTTGATCCGATAACCACTGCCTCACACTGTTACTGAGTAATTAAAAGTTAAAAGAGTATTGTTAAGAAGTAAGCACTTCACAAAATTCGAATTTAACGAACTATTTATATTTTATAACGAGAAATTTCTATTTATATGACTGTGCTTACATTAAAAACTATGAGGTAGTAACCATAAAGACAGCCAAATATCCTAAAAAGCTACAAAAACGACAAAAAATCGAATAAAAATTTCGATATTCAAAGTTAACGATCCGGTTCTAGCTTTAAATACCTCATTACATAAATATTTATTACAGTATTGTACATTACTTTAGTCACGTAATTGATGCAGTCGATGTTTAATAATATTTAAGATCTGTCAATAAAGACTGTTTTAATTTTTATGTTTTGTTTTTACTTCCTCCTTAATAGATAGGAAAACAATAGTAATAGTAAACAAGACGTTATGATTACAATAGACGTAACATCTACTTTCTTACTATTATAAGACTTGTGTATATTCAATTGGGGATATTCAAAACGACTTTTGTTTTGATTAGAACAATAGTTTGCATATTTGATCTACTGAACGATGTGAGCGCGAGAAGGAGAATAAGCGAGAGCTGCACGAACCGAATTTTCAGTTACGTATTTCGTGAGTCAAGAGGCCAGCCTGGGCACAATTCAAGACCTTTATTTTTATAAGTTCTAAATCTGAAGTGTTACAGCACATTTCTTAAGAAGCAATAGTATTCTGATCTTACATAACATCATCATAACATCACGCCTTTTATCCCTGAATGGGTAGGCAGAGGTGCACATTATACCACTGTACAATGTAACACCCACTTTTCACTATTTATGTTGAGTCCCATGTAATAGGGGATGAGCCTATTGCCACATATACCGGGCACAATTCCAGACTCCGTGCTACTACTGAGAATATTTGAAAGCCCAGTTATACTTTGCCCGACCCGGGAATCGAACCCGAGACCCCTTGCCCGGCAGTCGCACTTACGACCACTCGGCCAAAGAGGCAGTCATAAACTACCTAATAACTAGTTTAGTAAGTAACCTAGTTATTCAGCCCAACTAAATGTAAAAATTCAATAGGATATGGATAGGGTTTAAACTACAGGGCAAGTGGAATATAATACAGAAATGAGTTCATTTCATTGATTCATTTGATCTTAAAGGGTACAAAATCAAAATACTAGAGCATGTTACAGAAAACACACAAATCGAGACAATAAATGCGTTTATTTCACTTACAAATAAAATTTATTGCACTACTTCTAAACCAGCGACAATAAGTTAAGTAAGTAGTTTGCATATTTATTAATAAAAATATTTTGCTTTACTGTTTTTATTATTTAAAATTTAAATATAGTACATTAAGTTGTTATGAGGAGGGTATTGCAACTTTAAACCTGTATCTCAGAGACCTGGGCGATGATTTCTTGGTCATTATGAACCAGAGGCAGACATTGCAGAAATAGACAAGAGTCAGGAGCATTGTGACATGCATTAAACGACACAGACGAAGAAAGCTTAGTTTTAAACCAAAACTGGAAACAATGAAAAATAATTAATTTCATTTTTAACTACTTACAATTGATTTTCATTTTGTCATGGATCATGTTAAACTCATTGTTTCATAAATCATCAGATAAATACTCACTCTCTGTTAGCAAACTCTTCCATGTTACTATTTAGGGAGTCATTAGACCTTTGAGGGTCTGGTAATATGGAGAAATCTTTGTCAAACTGCTCCTGAAGACAACATATCCTTTCCATAATGAATAACAGAAGTATCGCCCAAAAATACTCAAATTCAAACACCATGTCTGTCATTTTTTGCCTTCTACCATTATGATATGATAACCAAACTTGGTTTTTATTGGAGGGTCGGTGTACACAGGGCTATTGACTGTAGATATTGGTAAGGCGAATGCCGCATCCTGAAATGGGCCCACCATCGAACCACGGGTCATCCAGCCAAGATCCCCACCTTGCCGCGCCTTATCCTCACTGTACGCGGATGCAACATCCGGGAATTTTTGTCCAGCTTTCAATTTCTCCAAGGCTTCTAAACATTTTGATTGCTTCTCACATAATATATGACGGACTTTGACAGCTGTCCCGCCTTTTTTCTCTTTTCCAGCCGATTCTAAATTCAAAACAAAAAGGTTAGTCATGTTTCATAGAGTAAAAATAAAAAATCCTCTGAAATGTTATAAGAATAGGTATTTCTAACCTTTTGCATCACCACCAGATTTTCCTCCACCCGATTTGGCATTTCCGCCGGCTTTACCCTTTTCTGGTTGTTTTTTCGGAGGCATATCACTGAACTATACTTTAGTTTAGCGTATGAAAATTTGTTCTAGTTTCTGATATTCTATTATAATTCTGATAATATTCCACGATTATATTTCCTTGTTGTAATAAATAATTCAATGTGAAAAATACGTAAACAAGATAGATCAGCTGTTTACAAAGTGAGGTTATAATTTAGTGTTGCCAATAAGACCTTATACTTTTCGACGTAAAATACTAACCACTTCTATTATAGGTAAAATTATTTGAATTAATTGGAAATTCCACTTCAAAATAAGTAATATTTAATATGATGGAAATATTATAGAAAACATGTGAATAAAAAAAACCGTAAACTAAAAATTGGTACAAAATATTATTATCTGTAACGATTCGCTAGAGTACGACGTAATCATTCATTCACTGAACATAAATTTCTCGTTCACTTTGTCATTCATAAAATGGTTTTTGTTTAGCCCAAACGGATACTTTGTTTTCTTTTCTAAATGAGTTTTTAAATGCGTTACTTTTACTTAATTAGTTGAACTGCGTACCACAATTATGCGTATTTTGTGTAGTTTTTAAATAAATAAGCAGTGTAGTGTTTTGATAATGTTTGAAGTGGAAATATGAGATTGCTGTCGTGGTGAATAACACCCTTGTAAATTTATTAGTAGTATTGCGAAATAGACATAATACAAGCCTCAGGGATGGGGATTATGTATGAAAAGAGGCCGCTGAAGAGGCCACGCCTTGGGCCTCCCGATGTATACCCTCAGGAGCCCCGCCAAAAAGAGGATGAGCTAACATCAACGAATGTAAAACATGGCTTTTCCACAACACCACAGTCTAGCGATGAGTTTGGTACTGCTAGGAATTTTAATTATTCAGCATCGAAGGTGAGAATACAGATTATCTACACTTTATCCCGATCACAGTACTTCATAGTAGATATAAGTTGGTTTGAACAAGTAGGTCAGTTGGCCTTGTATATGTATAAAAACATTGTACCTACAACTTGAAGTTCTACTTTACACCATTGAGTGTGTGTATTTTGATCATTAAATAGTTTGAATGGTTAGCATAGTGACTGTTGTGCATTTTGTTACACATTTGATTCCAAGTTTAGTAAAGAGTGGCCATCAAATTCTGTTATAGCGAGTTAAAGGTTCTTGAATGTAGTATTACTCTTAGAGAATGTGGTACGAAGTTGATATCCACTATATTTATGTAAAATACTGACATTCAAATCTACTGAATGTGATTTAACAGTCCGTGTTAATCCCAATATTAGTAGGGACAGTGCTAAAAACAGTGCTAAAAAGTTTTTTGTTAAAAGTCTATTACCACTTTTTCATATAAATTTTAGTTAAATCTAACTAGATTATTTGTGTATTTACATTGTATATTTTGTCACCATTATTGTTTCTATTGGCAGATAGGGCAATTCTTTTCAAGTATACTTTCTAAAAAAGAAGAATTAAACACACTGCCTGATTGTGGAAGGAAAAGGCAGCAGGTTAACCCTAAGGACAATTTCTGGCCTGCCACTGCTCGCACCAAGCCCCAAATTGAAGCCTGGTTCAAGGATTTAGCAGGTAAAATAAGAATGTGTACTTTTAATGATACACTATGTGATCCAACAAAAATGTTATCTTTTACTTATGATCGCATATTTTTGGTTGTGTCTTTTCTAAGAATATTCTAGTACTTCAGTTCTACAAGTTTCTAGACACAAGCATCCCCAAATTTCTTTTAAAATTATACTTCAACTGTTGTAACTACTAATACAGTCTTATTAAAATGCATTTTTGATATTCTCAGGAAGCAAACCGCTATCTCAATTGGCAAAGAAAGCACCAAACTTCAATAAGAAGGAAGAGATCTTTATAACCCTGACAGAGTACCAGGTGTCTATGCCCAGAGCTGCCTGGTTCATCAAGCTTAGTTCCGCATACACCGTGGCTGTTTCAGAAGCTAAGATCAAGAAGAGACAGTTACCTGATCCTACCACTGGTAAGTTACATCTCCCTTTTTATGATCTTTATAAAGGAAAAACTTCACAAAGGTGCTTAGCTATTGGGGAACATCGTGGTCCTGGTCACTATAAGTACTTACCCGATATTCATTTGAAGCTTAATTATAAATAACTAGCGACCCTCCCCAGCTTCGCACGGATGCAATATGCATGTATTATACATACATATAAACGTTCCTTAAGAATCACTCTATCTATTTAACAAAACGCATCAAAATCCGTCGCATAGTTTTAAAGATCTAAGCATACATAGGGACAGACACACAGCGAATAGCAGCTTTGTTTTATACTATATAGTGATTAGATAACATAGAGCAACTATGATTGGCTCTTAGCTTTGTTTTATGTATATTTAATATTCAAATTCAAGCTTTATGTAAGTAATATATAGTTTTTTTGCATTAATTGCAATTTTTATTATCTACTTTGATTGTACTACTGATATTAGAAGCTAAACATGAAATTAAAGTTTTTATAATAGTATGTAGTTTTACTGTGACATTGTCTAATTTCTTGCAGAGTGGACCACAACATTGATCAAGTTCCTCAAGGATCAGATACCGAAACTAGCTGAACACTACCAAAATGCAATCCCCGGCAATGTGTCGGATAAAACACCACCTTCACAATCTGGTAAGATATTATTAAACACTAAGTTTACTTATATTGTATGTAAAATTTTGGAAAATAGTATTTTTCTATGTCCTAATTTCATTGTTTTGACTAAATAACTTGACCAGTTTAATGTTGCAGCATGCTAATAATGATGTATGAACCCCTAGTGTGGTTTGAAATTATTTGAGTAATTTAAGTTACACGAGTAATTTAATAACACGTAAATCATAAAAACTTGAAATAGACTGTTGACCTTGTTCCAGGCCAAGGTACTCCCAGCCACAACTCGTCTGGCAATCCACCAGGCAGCTCTACGCCCAACTCCACAGCTTCCAACTCTATGCACTCTCCTGGAAATTCCAGTAGTAAGTATACTATTATAACAAAATTGGACTTTATTGATATGAATTGGGTTTGCTATAAAACAGTAGTGGTCTGTAATTCTGTCTATTTAATGCCGCAATTGTTAAATTGCTTTTGCTATCTCAGAAACTTTCGAATCATGACTTACTTAGTTGATATTTTCATGACTTAGATATTGAAAGAAAGAAATCATTTATTTGCTAATAATGTAGGTATACATATACGTTGGAATGAAGTTAATTGACCCAGTACATTTTACCTTTCGGCATGCAAATTAAATTATAATGTGATTTGAATGTCGTCAAATAGATAACTAGGTATACAATCAAAATTAAAAAAAAATGCTAAAATGCTACGATCAAATATAAGCCATACAAAAAGAAATAATTTACATGATATTATGTATTGTTTTATTCAGGGAACCTAAATTTTATTACTAACTGTTTATTCTCTGTCCAGCTCTCGGTTCAGGGACGCCTGGTCCAAGTGAGAGTACGGACTGGCGACAGGCATTGAAGCTGTGGAACTACTGCTGCCGCCTCGCCAAGTACTTGTTGGATGAGGGGCTACTGGACAGGCACGACTTCCTCACCTGGATCATTGAGCTGCTGGACAAGAGAGCACCTGATGATGGATTGTTGAGGTAATTTTAATAAATAGGCTTACAAATGAAGACTATTTGTAATTCGATGTTGATTTAGAAGCTGAATAAATAAAATTCTTATAATTTTAAAAGAAGAAACCAATATATTTTAATGGTTGTGATATCACTATCATCCCATGTAGAAGACGGAGCATTATATCAAGTTTATAGATAGACATTGACAGTTTGTAGTAAAAATATGACCTTAGAAACTAGTAGAGCTTTAAACTAATAGTCTTTTTAGCTATCGACTTAGATTTAATCATAGATTCAATATTCAAAAAAATATTATTTCCTATATTTGACTATATTAATATACATTCCTTCTTCACAGATTATTCCTACCTCTTGCGTTACAACACATGAGCGAGTTTGTGTGCTGTGAGAGTCTCTCCCGGCGGCTCGCGACCTCCTGCGCTAAGAAGGCAGCGGCCATTTGCTCCGTACTCTCTGATACTACACTGAGAACTCTTAACCAACCAGCTGTGTTCACTAAAACTGTTGATAAGAATGCAGGTGAGAATATAATTTGTTATTTGGTATCGTTCAATTAAAGTGGAATGGTTTGATGTGAATTGTAATTAGTGGTAAACACATTGTCGAACTTGAAGTAATTAAGGTAGTGTTGAGACCTAGTTAAAAATGGACTTATTATTTCTATTGTGTTGTTCATAAGTACAACTTCAACAAAGACTTCATAAGAAGTTTCGGATGCTTTTAAGTCATTTGCCAGTCGATACGCTTAACCATGAAGTACTTAATTCTATAAAACAATATTACAACTCCTGTACAAGCAAAGCATAAACTAAAACACAAATGTTTTCACAGAAACAAATGGGGCGCCAATGTCGCCAGCGACGGAAACGACAGCAGATGTCAAGCCAAACATATCGCAAATCAAAAGGGAACCGACTCCCGTGGAAAACCAGGGCACGCCAAATCCTAATCACTCTTTGGGCACTCCTAATCCCAGCCATTCCTTAGGCACTCCCAACCCGAATCATTCCCTGGGTACGCCAAACCCTCCTCAACCGATGGACGTACAAGTTAAAGAGGAAAGGGCCTCTCCTGCTAGGGAGACGAAGCCCGCTTTAGCTGCTGTAGTTACCGCTGCCATGAATCCGGTTCAAGCTGGTTTCGGAGAGATACTCAACTGTTGTTACCACAGAGATGTTATTATACAACTCGCTACTATTCTGCAGGTAAGATTTGTATTTGACAAAAATGAGAATTGTTTTTTCAGTTATGTGCATAAGCAATTAGTTTTTTTTTTTTAATAAAGTTATTATATAAATATCCGCACAAACTGTATGAGAGTTCACATAATTATGTTGGTCGATTTTTAGTTAACACTTGGTAATTGAACTATTGAACTAAAGTCAACTTAATCAGTTGTGATAAAGTTGAATGCACTTACTTTAAAAACTGTACTTACCTTAAAATAGCAACTATAAAATCATTTTCTTCCTCTTTCACTAACAGGTGATCTGCATAGAGTGCCCAACGGCCATGGTATGGTCGGGATGTGGTTCCTCCCTACAAGGGTCGCCACTAGACCTGTTACCCATACCACCATCAGCGTTACCCATGCCTCACATGGACACTGACGTTACCGAGGAACATAGAAAATTAGTCTATGAGGCAGAACAAGAAATCTCAGCCAGAAGCAAGAAGGCTGAAAGTAAATGGTGCACAGATAAGTGGCAGACTAGCTCACAAGCTAGAGTTTTGGCGGTATTAGAAGCGTTAGACAGGCACTGCTTCGACAGAGTAGATCCTAATAATAATTTGGACACACTATATAAGGAAGTGTTTGCAAATTGTCCTCCACCCTCAAAGGATAATAGTGACACGAAGGATCCAGAATGGGCGTGTCCGTATTCAGTGGTGCGTGTGATATGTGAATGGGCGGTGTGTGGAGCGCGTTGGGGAGAACATCGCGCTCAAGCCGCCGCCGCATTATTGGACCGGAGACAGCATCATACTCTCCATCATCACCACGATCACCACGCGACGGGATCTGATGATAAAGAATCAGTGAGCTCTGGCACTGGCATGTACAACGGCCCTCCTATATTCCAGAACTTGCTACTTCGCTTCTTAGATAATGATGCTCCAGTACTAGACGAGAGCCCCAATGCCCCACCAGGCAATAGGCAGCAGTTTGCCAATTTAGTACATTTGTTTGGCGAGCTAATACGTCGTGATGTGTTCTCCCATGATGCATACATGTGCACGCTAATCTCTCGAGGTGATTTAATATCTCCGACGGAGCCGACCTCGACTGGTGGCAGTAATCACACAGTGGCGCCCCCTTCCAACAGTACCAGTACTCACAATATGGATGATGATATCTTTGCTGGTATTGATCTGAAGCCGAAAATGGAGGTGAGATGTTTGATGTTGTGATCTACTTTGGAAAAAACGTCTTGTAAATGCAGAATTAATTTATTGTCATTTCAAAAGTACGGGTCCTCATTGGGTTTAAACAAATTCAATTACTGAAACTATATCGAAACCCATTCATTAGTTTTTGAGATTCTACCATTCAACAGCCTATTTAGCTTTCCAAAACTGATGTGCAATTTTCTCAATAACTATCATGTTCTGTACAGGAAAACGTCCGAATGGATCTGGACGACTCGAAGATAGATGATGACCTGGACAAGCTACTCCAGCATATCAAGGAAGACCAGCAGAACTCAATGGACGCACCCGACAGTCCCAAGGACCCCGGAGAACCTTCACACAGGTGATACAAATATTTTGATAGTCCAGGAGAGGGTGACTGACTTACTGACCGACGTTTCATGTTTTTTTTTAGTGTGTTGAATAGGGTAGTTTCCTAAATTTTATTTTAATGTCCGTCTGGTATATTAATTTAAAACTTTAGACACGTATTTTTTCTTTTCTCACAAAATTAAATACTTTCGACGATATATTAATTTGAAATATCGTATGACGTAACGACCTCCCACAACTAAACTTAGCGCCATTTTATCTAAGTATTGCAACTTAATACGAAAAAATAAAAAAAATACATGACTAATATTTTTTTATTATCTTACTGACGGACTAATTAGATCTTTAATTTTGATACCCTGGAAACTACTCAATTGACGTTGAATTCCAAATGCCACCAAATGGTACAACATTACACATTTTGTTTCATAAGCAACACCAACTCTACACAATGAAATAAAATACAAGTTTGGCCTATTGCTAAACACTGGGGCAATTCTATACTCTATTACTGATGAAATTTTCGAGTTCAAGTTATACATAGGCGTACTCATGGCGGAATGGCAGCAACGACTGTCGCAACCGGGGGCTGGGCTCGCTGCCATTGCAGCGGTAAGTCCCCTCTTTGAGGAGTGGCTTGAGAGACGCTACGGCGTCCTCACCTACCGCCTGACGCAGGTCCTCACCGGACATGGAAGTTTCGGGAGGTACCTGTGTCTGATGGGGCGGGAGGAAACGCCCGGGTGTCATCACTGCGAGGACCGCCCTGAGGACACGGTGGAACACACAGTGGGAGAATGCCCTGCGTGGGCTGAGCACCGCCGTGCCCTCAGGGAAGTGATCGGCGATGGCGACCTCTCGCGTCCGGGCCTAGTGCAGGCCATGATGCGGAGCGAGGGGGATTGGGATGCCGTCTCCTCCTTTTGCGAAGCAGTCATGCTAGCTAAGGAGGAGGCGGGACGCGTGAGGCAGCGAAGCGCTGCCTCCTCGCAACCCAGCCATCGCGAAGGACACACCGGGCGTCGGGATCGCGAGACGATCTCCCCACCGTAAGCGCGGGCCTGCGGACGGCGAGCATGGGTGGCTCCCCGTCCGACCAGAAACAGACCCGAGCGTACGGCGCGTCGCGTTCCGCGCGCGCCTCAAAGAGCCATCAGACCACCACAGATGGGGCCCTATAGGGCCGATGCCGATTCGGAGTCGCGGAGAACCTAACGGGTAACCGGGGCTCCGGCTCGACGTGCAGGAGAAGGAACGGGGTGGTTTTTAGTCAGTAAGAGTCTGACACTCCCTTCCGCCTCACCCAGGCGGGAGCAGTCATTCGATGATTTTCCACCATTAAAAAAAAAAAAAAAAAAATACATAGGCGTACCTGGGAAGCGAGGCCCTAAACTTGCGGTTACTCGACTTATTAAGCATGCGACGATTTTGAGCGTTAACTAAATCAAACATTTTCTTTTTATTTATGACAGCAGACCTTTTTATTTGGTTTCTTTTTTGTTTATTCCAATAATAAGTAACTTCTTTGCATACGTAAATTCAGTACGTGTTACAGCGTGAACTCTCCAATGATGGGGCCGGGCGGCATGAGTATACCCGGCATTCCTTCCATGAGCATGGGGCCCATGTCGGTACCAGGTATGTATATTCTAAAATAGTCTTTTATTTTATACTCCATAAAGGTTGCAATTACAAGTCATTAATTAAAAATGTGTAATCTCCTTCTTTATGCTTGCTTATGTTAAATATCTGTACTAAGAATATTATAAAAATAAAGGTTAGTTTATTTATGTAAATTATTTTAAACTGTCAAACACCAAGCGGTCACCGGTGACCGCGACCTATTGTTCTTTAATTGTGTCTATAAAACCGGTACTCAACGAGTTAAAAACGTTACTACCACATTTTTCGTATGGGATATACATAAAATTGTTTATTATTTAGATTTTTTTTTTTTTTGATGAACTGATAAAGTTTATATGTATGTATGTATGTCTATTTACTTATCGCATGTTTAAAGTAAAATCGTTATCAAACTTTTTTTATGAATTGACTATTTACTGCCTCGTTGGCCGAGTGGTCGCAAGTGCGACTGTGGCAAGGGGTCTCGGGGTCGTTTCCCGGGTAGAGTATTAATGTGACTATTTAAACATCCTAAAATACTTATATGGCATCAGCTCAATTCATGAAAATCTTCGTAACAGTTTTCACTTTAACCCGTTGAGCGTCCGCATTCCTTATGATCCAACGGGTGCACACGTGACATTTGGAGAAAGAAAGAAAATGCATTTATTTGGCCATTGGCACACGAAAACAAGGATCATTACAATAGAAATAAAAAATACAGTCAAAATAAAAACAAAACATTAATAATAGATTTTATAAAAGAGAAAGCAGCATGGAGCATTTTTTCTTATGATCCACCGGGTGCTCATAAGGACGCTCGAAGGATTAAAGGTGCGTTATATTCTCTTGTATCCATTATTACATGTTACATCCCCCAGGTATCCGCACGTCGAGCGCGGCGGGGTCGAGCGGGTGCGCGGGCGGCGCGGCCGTGTCGCGGCACTACCACTACACGCTGCACTTCCCGCTGCCGCCGGCCGAGCCCGACCACACGCCGCACGACGCCAACCAGCGACACATACTGCTGTATGGGGTCGGGAGAGCCAGGGATGAAGCTAAACATGCTGTTAAGAAGATGACCAAAGGTATTGTTGATGTATTTATTTATATTATAAAGAATAACAATTCAGGCTATGCTAATACAAAGCCAATTATTGGTTTCCATTGCTACAGTATATCTTTATAGAGGTTTTGTGAATGCAATGCACACAAAAGTAGAAAAATAACGATATCTATTCGGTAAATTTAAGGTTTGGTCACCTACGCACCCCAGAACTGTTTGTGGTAAATGAATCGAGCCCCAACTCTACACGATTTATTCAAATCCTTGCTTACTCGCACAATATAGGAGTTTCGCCTATAATTAGAGGAAGAAGTATTATGTTGTTATTGTATAAGAGTGTATTAACAGATTACACGCGAAAGACTTAACGGGTTGCCGGAGCCCTAGGTCAAAGCGGGAGCAGAAACGGGGTGGTTTTTAGTCATAAAGTCTTTAACACTTCCACTCGCCTCACCCGAGCCGGTAGAAGACATTGAATAATTCCCCCCCCTCCCCCTTAAAAAAGGTATTACATGTTTTATTAAAAGTACCCTCTGATGCACCTGAACCTTTTAGCGATCTCCAATCCGCATTCCGTTTGTGGAGATTATTCCAAAGGCTGTTTTGTAAAGGAGTCCCATAGTCCATTGGATTATCTCCGGCTGTTGATGTTAATTACTGAATTCCTGTCCTCCACTGCAAAGAAGATTTAGCAGTAAGTGGGTATAGTGAATCATTTATTTAATAATTTGTTATTGTTTCAGAAATATGTAAATTATTCTCCAAGAAGTTTTCAATCGACGTAGCAGAAGGCGGTAAAATAAAGAAACATTCGCGTAATGAATTCAACTTCGAAGCAGTTACGCAAAAATTCCAGGTACTTAAACTGAATAAATATAAACTTATATGCTGTGTCCGTTTAGCTCTGTTTTTACGTTTCGTGTGTGGAACTGTTAACAAAACAGTATTACTTATCCCAAACTGCTTAAAGTTGGCACAAATATATCATATTTTATCCTGTCTTCCTATCACTAAGTTCTTCCAGTTTCATATCATTCTTCATACAATTTATATTTATTTTTATAATGCAAATGTAGATAAATGTGCATAGTGGACAATCAAAGGACAACATTTTAATTTAGCACTCACTTAGCCAGTTTCATCCCTTCCTATCATATGACTTTACCAAGAGAGTCAAAGACCTTTGAGCTTCTTTGTTAAATACTAACGTCACGTTCAAAGTTCTATTGATATAATATTAATTAATTTCTTATTAATTTGCAACATTTCGTCCCACAGGCAATGTCAATGTACGAGCAGGGCGCAGTATCGTGGGCAGTAGGTAGCGCGGTGTGCGAGGCTCTCGCGGCGTACGCGGCCGGCGCCACTACGTACTTACCGCAACCTGAACACGTTGCCTTCGCACTCGATCTCATGGAGATCGCACTCAACGTGCATGGACTCATTGAGACTTGTATACAGGTGAGTTCGAAACTGTTGCGTTAACTTATGCATTGTTATTTCTGTGGGTATAAAATATGCTTATGTGTGTGGATATCGTATCTAAATTGGTACAGTTGTTTTTCAATCTATGCCAAAAAATGTGTTTGTTTCAGTTTGTGTATTGTTCGATTTAATTTTGTCCCTGACTCCGAAATATTAACACGTTTTGTTAATTTGAATTTAAGATTACTGAGTATCGAACCAATCGTCTTTTTCCTATTACTCTTCTTATACTCTCTAGAATACAGGATGTATGTAGAAATTGTATAGATGATATAAAAAAATAATTTCTATAAAGTGATTCACTTGAATCGAGACTTAATTTTGTCAAAACTGTTAATAAACAAAAATGTGTTTAGATCCTGAAAGAGCTATCAGAGGTGGAGAGCGCCCTAATATCTCGCGGCGCGCCCAGTAGTGGTCTAGCAGCGCCGCGCGCCTATACCTCCGCGCTAGCTCTATACACCGTCGGCGCGCTTAGAAAGTACCACTCGTCATTGCTATGTAAGTTATATTTATTTTCATACAAAACTTTTCACTCATAATTTAAATATGTATTCTGAAAAACCCAGATTATTCTTTGTGGTTCTCTTTAGAAAACAGTCTATTTTTGTAACAATTTTTAAATAAACCATTTTGTGTTGTAGTTTTCAGATGGTTATGAACTTTATTAGATTCGCTTAAGTCTTAAATCCATTTGTCAAACTCTCAATAATATGATTACCAAAGTGGCTTATCTGACGTTAATCAAATTATCATAGTCGCCATTCGTTATTAGCCAGAAGATACCCTACTACTAAACAAAAGCTTCACCATTATAAGAACCATTTCAAATCACATTAACAGCCTATAAGTGACCACGGCTGACTTCTCATATAGAGAGGGTTAAGGGTAAGGGTTATTTAAAGATTATGAATAAAATATAATTTTAATTTCCCAGTATGCGTGGAACAAACATCAGCGGTATTCGAGCAGCTATGTCGGCTGGTGAAGTGCGTGGTGAACCCCGGGGACTGCGGGTCTGCAGAGCGCTGTGTCCTGGCGCAGCTACACGACTTGTATAAGGCCGCAGCACATCTCTGCCACGCGCCGCATGCCGATACCTTCGCTAATGCATACCCTAAAATCAAGTGAGTTGATGACTTATACAAACTTAAACAAATAGGGTAGATGACTATATTTTATTATTAATGTCCAGAGGTGGATTATTTAAAATCATTAGACACATATTTTTTTATTTTCTTACGGAAACAAATACTTTCGACGATATATTGATTTGAAATATCGCGTGACGTCACTTTTGTGTACATTTTGTACTAAAAATGTAGTTCCTCCTCTCAGCTCCCACTCCTAAAAAATTTATACGTTTTATCTTAGTATAATTTTCGTATACGACTAAATAAAAAATATGTCTTAATTACGTAACTAACGGACTATTTAGATTTTTATTTTTCATACCCTGTCATCATCCCTATTAATTTAAGGATGAAAATGACTATAATAGATATAACGGCGAACATTTGTCGTCAAGTAGTTAGTGTTTTTAAAGGTATAAGATTCAAAATCTATCATCAATGTCAGGTCTACCTGTCTACGATTTATTTTAATATTTTAATGTTTTAGCTATGAGGCAGTAATGCCGTCTATATTTTATTAATATTATTGAAGATAAGCTTATTAAATATCTTTTTTTTTTCAGACAAGCCCTCTATTCTCCGCTGCAACCGACACCATCAAACTACATGTATAATCCTCAGTTTTTGAGCGAATTCTTTACAAACCCAAGGAAAGGTAATTATTCAAATGATTTGTAAAGAGAGACTGCCTCGTTGGCCGATTGGTCGCAAGTGCGACTGCCGGGCAAGGGGTCTCGGGTTCGATTACCGGTTGGGCAAAATATTATTGGATTTAAAAAAAATCTCAATACAGTGGTATAATGTACACCGAAAAGGCGTGATGTTTTTTCTTTTATATATTTTTATGTGTTTCGGGTGTCCATTTCACTCATCACCGACGCATTTCGGGTGTCCATTTCAGTCGCATCACCGACTGTTTGTTTACCCTATATCACTTGCAAAGGCAGTGTACTTATACAGATTTAATTTCGCAGGTAAAATAGAGATTGCTTGGGCGCGTCAAGTAGCCGAGTCTCCCGCGAATAGGTACAGCTTTGTATGCTCTGCCATGCTCGCTGTTTGCAGAGAAGTGGATAATGATCGGTAAGTAAGCACGTAAACGTGTACGCTTATTAATTTTTGCCTAATAATAATTGCATAAAATGTCAAACTGAAATATTCGCTCGGACTTTAAAATTATAAAAATTGCACAATGTCATCGTTTATAATTTCACAATATAAAATGCTATTGATCTCTTTCCCCCATCTCTCCCCCCTCTCTCTCAGTCCCTCTACCCTCTCTCTGCCCTTTCTCTTCTTCTTTTCTTCTCTTCTCTATATCTCTTTCCCTCCCCCTCCCCCTCTCTCGGTCCCTTTCTTTTCGTAAATAATGTCGGAATACTGAAACGTTACTCAATTTTAAAACGTGCTTAAATATTGTTCCATCTCTGTCATTTCACAAATAATTAGTGGTGACAGAATAGGCTATTCTCCTATTTTTTCAAATATTTTTTAAAATGCTCATATATATCAGATAATCAAGGATTATTTTTATTTCTGCAAAATATACCTGCTAAATGTTTAAAAAAATATATCAAAAATTTGACTTAAAATATACGCGCCAAAACACCGACCGCCATGATGGTGGCGGCGACTGACGTCATATAAACTAAAATGAAGAAATGTCAAAATGCCAGTTTGTCTTGTACTCTTGTAGTGATTTAATATAATTTAATTTCAAGTAAAAATGAGTTTTTATAGCCCATATCGTTGGTGTGTAGCGTTGAATTGTAAAAATTCTACGTTGAAGACTCCAGAAAAGTTATTTATTAATGTGCCGACCGACGTTTCTATGAGAAATGTTTGGTTGGAACTCGCGGGACGAGATCCTGTAAAATATTCTAAGAAATCTCATTTATATCTTTGTGAGGATCACTTTGACGTAAGTACATAAGCTTTTTTTATTGATTTTTATTTAAATTACGATATTACTCTCTTTTTTACTATGTAAACGAGACTTTGAGGTTATTTTTACTACATAGCTCGGTATCATTGCTCTGCTTAGCTAAATAACCTACAATAATTATTAACATTTGTTTTTAGCTAGAGCAAGACATGGAAAATTATATGCAATATAAAATAATGGGCTCAGTAAAGAAAATCAGAATGAAACCTGGCATTATACCATCTAAGTTTAATAATATACCCATTGTGAGTCCTGGCCAGGAAGCAGAGAGCTCTTCAACAAGTGTACAACCTGGTTCATCAACATCACGTAAGTATATTTTATTTACCAAGCTTTGATGGTGCTAAAATGATAAAATATATTTAAACCTAAAGGGAAATTTTGTTTCTAACTGAAATCCTACCATTTACATCGTGTCATAGAGAGGTTGTGAATCTCAGCCAAACACCATTTACATCATGTCATACAAGAGGTAATCCCAGTCAAACACAAGAGAGTGCTTTAATAAATAACCATACAGCCCACTTTATTAACTCAACTTAAGTTTAATGATGATCACTCACCATCGCATTACTTTAAATTATTACAATGGAAAGGCTGCTCTACAGATTCTTATCTATTGTTTTCAGATGTTGTGGAAGTGGAGGAAGATGAAAATATTTCACACAAGGCAGATAAAGAAGTTCAAGTACAGATAATGCCAGTTATGGAATACAAAGCTGTCCAAGTGAATTTATCTGCCCATTATAGAAGCAAAGCAACACAAATAAATTTAAAAGTGCGGCACAGCACTACATCTCCAATAAAGTTAAGCACCTCAGTTGCCACTTCACCACTCATTAAAATGAGCACTATAGATGTACCAAGTACATCAGGTATCACAAGACCAGCAAAAAGGAAATTGTCTACCTTGTTCGAAGACCAGTCTGATAGTGAGATATCATTTACTCCATCAGTATCTGGATCAACGAGTCAAGACTTCTCTCCAATAAAAGTCACAACATCTGACAGTAGTTTGCCTGAAGAAATTCAGAGGGACAAGAAAACGAACTTAGAAAACACAATCTTAAAAATAAAGAAAAAGCCTAGACTCTATATTGGTATCCCTAAGGAACTTTATTTTTTACTAAATATCATACAAACACAGACAAACATTTCTGAGGCAAATATTTTGTTGTGTTTGACAAAAATTAGGCTAAATAGCTCATTTTCACAAATATCTGATGATTTTGGTTTGTCACTATCACAAGCAAGTAAACTTTTTTCAACCAACATAATACCAATCAGTAAAGTAATGTTACCTTTTATTAGATCGTTTACAACGGAGTCAATAAAATTAAATTTACCAATAGCATTTAGACATAGATATAATAAAGTAAGTTGTATAATAGATTGTTTGGAGATAGAAATACAGAAACCCACTAATGCAGTCCACCAAGCACTGACTTGGTCCGAGTATAAGAAGGCCAACACAATAAAATATTTGGTTGCTTGTACTCCAGATGGATTAATAAGTTTTATATCTGCAGGATATGGCGGAAGAGTAACAGATGTACATTTATTCGAACACTCCAAATTTTTAGATACTCTCCCATCAAACACATGTGTCTTAGCTGACAGAGGATTCAAGCACATTGAAACATATTTGTCTAAAAAGAACATAACTTTATTAAGGCCCCCAAGTGTTGGTAGTGGTTCCAAACTGTCAAAAGCTGAGGTACGTCAGACAAAAGAAATAGCAAGCCTCCGGATTCATGTGGAAAGGGTGATCCGAAGAATCCGGGAGTTTGCTTTTTTAAAACCACATTCTGTGGTTAACATAAATTTAGTTCACCTTCTTGATGAATGTATTACTACTGCATGTGCTCTGATTAACATACAAGATAGTCTTATTAAATAAATACATATACAATTTTTTTTAAACTTTTATTTATACCCATAATATCCCAGCCAACTGTTCAAACCAGATATTGACATATGCTATTATTACATTAAAGTGGACAGTATGTAATTGATATAACCATGTAGTAGAAATATTATGTTTTCATGATTTTGGTAACTTGCATGAGCTAGTTAGAAATGCAAAAGTAACTCTGGCAGTCTGTCTGTTACTTCTTTTCTCTTTATCCTATGAACAAGTTTGGTTAAAACTCAGTATAGAGGAGATAAGTTTGAGGATTTTATCTAAGGTGTGGTTTGAGGTCCGGGGGCATAGGTAATAAAGATTCATCCTAAGACAAGGTACTGTAGCTAGTGGTAGAAGCCTTGGGCTAAAGCATATAAAATAAAACAATACACATAAATACTTACAAGTTCTATATTTTGGTACTTTCATACAAAATTGGATATATATTATTTTTCCAAAAAGGAACAATTTTGTCCAAAAGTTCCTGTACTACTTTTCTATCATACTGCACCTCTACAATACTGACATCATTGGAAGTCTCAAAATCACTACTTGCAACACAAAAAAAAACTTTTTTCTGCTTTTGCACAGAACATTTGCATTTGCACTTGTGCCATATATTTTTTGGTCACAGCACCATCCTTAATATAATTTGTTAAAGTTTTTACACTTGTTGGGCACTTTATTTCTACCAAAGTACTTTTTTTATAGATGCCATCAGGTGAGCCTGCAATCATAGGATATGTTTCTGAAATAGAAAGACCACATTTTTCAATCTTATGGCCCAATTTTTTTTACTGTTTCCTTACTTTTTCTTCTAATTTTTGCCCTCTTTTCATTGCTGAAGTTAGTGGAGTCCTTGCTCCAAGAATAGCCGCTACTAAGGAGCCATCCACAGTTTTGCATTTGCTCACTTCGTAGCATTTTGATGCTGTAACTCTTCCATAACGTAGCTCATACCAAAAGCTTGTTTGATGCTGGTGCCTTGTCTCTTTTTCAGCATTTCTTAAGTTAATATCATTAAATACACTACTGATATTATTTAAAAATGAATTACAATCCAGTCTTTCATTAAATTTGCACATCAAATAATGTAAAGAAAGCATATTAATTTTTTTTTCAGCATAGTTAATCTCATGTTTGAGCAGCTGGCATGAGCTTATTTTTCTTTTTTTACATTCAGTCACAAAGATTTCTGCGACACTTTTATGTGGTGCTACTTCTGGGGTTTGAGTACTACTTCCTTTTCTTTTCTTCAATATGTCCTTAGCAAGTAATATTTTTAGAGAAGATCCAACTTTAGATAAAGTAGATTTCCTCCAATAGCACTCAATAGCAGTGCAAGGTGGCTCTTCACTCCGACGATGACACCACATTAAAAAAGCAACAGCATGCTTACAACCACCTTCAGATGCTGGACAGTCATGGCATACTACACTTTTAATTTCTTCTTCCTGTTCATCAACAGTAAGTGTGCAAGAGTATGGCTTGGAACGCACTTTGTGTTCAGGACACATTTTGCATTTGACAACGCATGTCTGCTGATCTCTTTTCAGCTGCACATACCCAACAGCATCATCGCCATACGTTTCTCTGGCTGACCTATAAAAAAAGATGAAAAGTTACGATACCTACTTATTGTTTACACATAACCTCAAAACACGTAAGGATACTTTCATACACAATAAAACTATTTAGTTTTAAATACAAGTTGTAATTTAAATACATTATACTTACATAGCTGTTTTGATATTTCTGCATTCGGCAGAAAAAAAGTCGGTATTACACGCAAAGAACTTTGCAATCATTACCGCATCTATTTTCGGGAGATTAGTACTTTCGGCTTTTACAAAACCGACGTCCATTTTAATTAAGTAAAACTAACGTATTAAAATATTAAATCTTTTAAATTTAAGCTTCAAAACACATTAAACTCAATAAAAATATTAAATTTCTATGAGCGCTGGTAGGTAAGTAGTTTGTTGTTTGTAAAACGAGTGACGGACGACGAGCTTTAGTGAAATTGACGTCACATCATGGCGGTCGGCGTTTTCAATCACGTGACATACAGATAATGAAACCTCAATTTTAATTTTGAAAAATAAAATTAACCTTAGGTTTTCATGGGAAAATAACTTTATATTTGCATTTTCCGTGATGAAAACTATCCAAGTAATATAATTTCATAATTTATTGTTGATATAAGAAAATGGCCTATTAAAATTGAGTAACGTTTCAGTATTCCGACATAAGAGTGTAAATAATGTAGAGTCGTGAGAGTGCGTGAAGTATGTGTTTGCGCGCAGCGTGAACGAGCTGGGCGTGGTGTGCGCGGAGATGACGGCGTGGTGCGCGGCGCTGGCGGCGGAGTGGCTGGGCGCGCTGGTGGCGCTGTGCGGCGCGCAGCACTACCCGGGCGCCGCGCCGCCGCCGCTCTACCCCGACCTGCTGCTGCACCGCGACCTGCACGACGCCGCCGCGCACGACGCGCTCGCTGTCTTCACCTGTATTCTTGTCGGTTAGGCTCTTTCATCTTCTAACTATAATATCCGTGACGTACGCCTACTTTTAAAATTAATGTCTTTAAATAATGATAAGAAATTATGAAGTTTACTTCACTTCAAATTTCGTGTATTCAGTGTGCCATAAATCTCAAATTCAAAAGCATTTATTTCAATTAAACCATAATTCGATACTTTTGAAACATGCAACAAATATAAAATAAATAATAGTCTGTCAGTCAGAGAAGCTAGGTGCTTGTTCCAAAAAGTAGATTTGTATGGAGAAAAACGGTCAAGAAACTCCATTCGTCACTCAATTCCCTCAATGAATATGGTGACGCCACTAAAACAAAAACGTCGTTTATAAATATTGTACTAATATCTGTACTTTTAAAGCAACACACCACTAATGTTCTCCAATGTCCAACCAACCGAAATAAACTGAAATATCTAAAAACTATTTTTACTTTATTATTTAAAACAAATTCTATATTTGCTCCAAAAACTACTTTTTTGAATATTGTTAAAAACATCTATTTGACACAATTTACCATTAAATAATTAATTGCCATTATCTATATAAATAAATATAAATGAATTTCCGTTCGTTAATCTCACTAAAACTCCAGAACAACTTGACCTATTTGGCTAATTTAGGTCTTGAAACGTTCGTGGAAGTCTAAAGAAGGTTTTAAAGTCAGCTAGTTTTTAATATAAACATTTTCTTGCAGCGCGACACTGTTTTTCATTAGAAGACTTCGTCCGTCACGTGGCGCTACCGTCGCTGCTGAAGGCATGCGGCAGTGGTGGGAATACTGTGAACGCACCGAACGCTCCCTCGCCTGACACCGGCGCTAGATTGACTTGCCATCTACTACTTAGGCTGTTCAAAACTGTTGATACTCCGCAACCAGGTAAATGTGGCTATATTTATTTATTTGTTAAATAAAAACAAACAGCAACATATTACAAAATATACATAACTCAGCTTACACATTATACTTGGGAAATATGTTACCCAATACGTTATCCACAGATCAATTTGAATATTAGATCTGGAGTGACAAACGTACGTTCATTTTTCAAATAGAACGAGCTAATTTGAAAGAAAACAACAGCTTCCATAGATTCACGATGAACTACTTACGCGTATAGTTAAAATTGTCACAAACAATTATTTAACAATTTTTGCAGTTCTTACAATTCTGTACGCACATTGCATGACAAACAGACTGCTGATCCCTATACACTATACATATGGGTAGAAAATATGTATCTTCAGTTACAAGTTTTAATTAACGTCTGTGTTTATTAAGTAAAATACAGTGCTAGAAGGTTGTTAGATTCAATCGTAACAACTTAGCAGCCAATCCCAAGTTTTCGGAAAAAGGCCAACAGTACAGATTTATTTTTCGTTTCGTCTATGTGAAAAATACATCGTATTTTTATATAATTATAATGTCTATATGAGACATTTTAAAATTAAATACATACAATGGTTTACTTACGTGACCTATCAGAGGAAGCTCTACTAATTTCAAGTCATACCAGCAGCTGTAGCCAAATGCCATTTAGCGCTTGTCTACATGTAGAATAGAAAACCAAATTATATGGAATTGACGTAAATTTTGACTTTTGTCAGTGTCATCCCCATACATTTTGATTTCTACTCTCTCTGTAGACAAGCGCTTAAGTGGCGTTTGGCTAAAGGCACAGGACTCATAGCGTCACATGAGAAAGCCGCATCATGCATTTATCCTCAACTATAGAAGATAGAGAGAGTGACTACCTCGTTGACCGAGTGCTCGCAAATGCGACTGCCGGGCAAGGCGTCTCGGGTTTGATTCCCGGGACGAGCAAAGTATTCCTGGGTTTTTAAAATTCTCAGTGGTAGCACGGAGTCTGGAATTGTGCCCAGTATAAGGCAATTGGCTCACCCCCTATTACAGTGGACTCATAACATAAATATTGAAAAGTGGGTGTTATTTTGTACAGTGACATAATGTACACCTCTGCCTACCCCTTTGGGGACGAAAAGGCGTAATGTTTTTTCTTTTATATATTTTTATGTGTTTCGGGTGTCCGTGATGGTAAGTTATGTTATAAACTTAGAGTTATAAAAGTGTTTTTCTTGTCCAGGTCTGTACTCAGTATCAACGTCTCCGGGTCCGGGCGGCGCGGCGGCGGGCGTCCGTCTGTCGTGCGACCGTCACCTGCTGGCCGCCGCGCACAAGAACATCGGCGTCGGACCCGTACTAGCCACGCTCAAAGCTATACTCAGTAAGTTATCGTTTAGATTTTAATTGGATATCTTTCTTTTATGATTTACATTTAACTTAATGGTGGCTAACATTATTGTGTTCTCCAGATGACGCTAATGTAGCGTGAGGGGTTATTTATTCAATCACTATAACTGTTAAAAATTAACCAATGATTTGCCATTAGAAAATTCTCTGTAGACAAACAAAACCTCAATCTACATTGTTCCCTTCTAGTGAGCACAAAATAGATGACGACGACGACGAAGGGCATCTAGTGAGCCCTCTTTGCTGAAATTTCTCTTTGGATTGTCCATTTATCTGAAAACAGATTCTGTGAAGTTATTTCAGTGAAAGATAGCCTGAGAAATCTCTTTTTTTGAAGATTCTCTCTTGAAATTGATGATAATATTAATATCATTATTTTGTTCCTAGTGGTCGGTGATGTAACCGCTCGAGACGGTGGCACGGCAGGCGGGAAGAAATCGTGTGAACTGTCACACATACTAGGCACTAGCGACACGGTACCCACAGACGCACAACTAGACCTTATGTCGTAAGTATAAGGTTCTAATTACTACTTTATATTCGAGAGCGCCATGACATGTGTTTTATAGGTAGTAACTGAGCTTCAAACATGCGATTATATGACTTAAGTCGGTGCACTCAGGTCCAAAACTGCTTGTAAGGAAACAAAAGACTTTGGACTAAGTATTTTGTCTTCTCCATTGTTCTTCGCAAGTAATTCTGGACTTAAATCCTCCGACTTAGGACATATAATTGCACGTTTATTATATAAAGCACATATCTGGCGTTGTACTAGTAGTAACCATTGAACATCTTGACATGATCCTTGTGTTACTTAAAAACAGATTATCAATTTACTCATTAACACTTGCACAAGTCTTCATCCTGGGTATATATTGCCCATAAAGTGATTTTACCAAGGATCATGTAACAAAGTATAAATCATAATAAAATATTGATTCGCGATGTTTTTTTTATCCTTAGGATGGTAGATTCAGAGATGAGTGGGGGCCATAGAACTCCTAGGTTTGTTTTTTTGATATTGAGTTACACAGTTGCACATCCTACGACCACGGACTTGGCTTCACTGTGTACTGTTGTACATACTCGTACCATTCTGACATGATGATCCATCATTGGCGTAGCTAGACACCACTCAGCTTAAAATGTATCAGTGTAGGATCAATATCCTAGTTGACTGTTGGATCGAACTAGCTTTTGTTACTATTAATGTATAGGATCAGCAAACAATCATTTCTAAGACATAGCTACAACAATGTTTATACAATGCAACAAAAGTACAAATAAAACTGAGAACTGATACTTTTTACACCAGATTTAATAATATACTTCAAATATATAGTGATAGTAATATTCACTTTGAAGATAAACCTATTTTAAATGTCAAAATAATCACAGTGATTAATCACATGTTAATATTCTTTCTGTATGTTATTAATGTTACGAACCAGCTCAAAATGTGAGTAACACCATAGAACAAGATACCTATTAATAATTTGGTATAAAAATTAACTTGGTATCGAATTAAATAACCTTCTATAAAAAACCAACTAGTTAAAGTATGATAGCTACGCCAATGTTCACTCGCTTCGCTTCTCTTCATATTGTTTGCTCCTGGCCATCATGCTCTGCAAGGGACGTTTCGATGTGTAGTTGCTTCATCCCTGTCTGTCTATAGAGGGCACTATGGTTGTAACGTTGCCCTTACTAATTCTATACTGTTTACTTATAAATATTTAAGAAAATTCTCTGATTATATTGGTTTCATAACATAAATGGCGATAACCAGTATTATTTTGATTAGTACATCTCTGTTTACCGCGTAATTAATTAATTAGCTGTTTTTGGCGATAAATGGATGTTATTTTTTATATGTACTTCACTGATTACGCCTCCCGGTAGTAAAAATCGTTATATTTTTCTTATGCTTAACGTAAAATCCAGTAAGAAAAAATAGCGCTCGAAGAATAAATTAAAAAAGATTTCTTAACTGTTTGTAGTATCAATTTTATAATCATTTACATAATTATTTACTGAAAATGAAATGTTGAAGTACTTCAAATATTTGTAAGTAAACAGTAGTCCTACCTCACCGGTTGTGTCGTCCACAGGTTCACGTTTGTGTTTAACAATCGACTCTTGTGTTTCACCCTAAATGTGTACAGGTCTTCACAGCGACTCTTTAACTAATCATTTGTTATATGTATTTAGTTTGTAGCTGTCTCTAGCTAATTAATTAGCCCCCCTTTTTTATTTTAAAAGTGTGTTATTTTGCATAGTTTTTTATATATGAGAAACTATGCGTTTTGTTTGAAAGTAGTGTTGCCTCGGTATCGATCAAAGATGTCGATAAAATAATGTTTATATGCGAATGCACGTAACTCAATATATAACTAATAAACATACACCATAATGTTACGGGCCACACAGATGAATTTTTGGAGACCCTGTATATTTGAGTCATGTAATGGGTATACCGATATTCTTAATCTATATAACTACAACACTATTTTCAACTATACAATAATACACATCCTTAATTGTAAAAAATGCCCATAAAAAGGTTTCAAGCTTCATGTGAATAAACTAAATCTCACTACATATAACTAATCGGTTTACTTTGGCATTCTATGTTTGGGTTACATGTGTCTATGTACAGTAACCAGCAGGTCAAGGTACTCCAATCTGTCTGTTACATTTTCGGCTTTATATCCTAAAGAAGATAAAGTTGAAAATCCTACTAACAGAAAGGTGTTGATCAGCTGGTCAGTACTTGTGACGTTATTGTATGTGAATGGAGAGCCGGTAATGGTTGCAGGGGTAGCGGTGGCGTGGGTTCCACTCTCCTGGACTCCTCGCAGTCACTCTCGTCGCTAGCACGAAGGGTTCTGGCTGAGATATGCTCTGAAGAATGGGTACTACAGAAATGCCTTCAAAACCCTGATGAATTATACCAGCCAGATATGTTGTTGGATCCTATGTTGACTTCAAGACAGGCACAAAGGTATGATGATTTGTTTAATACTATTTTTGTTAGAGATTATGCTCATAAAGCAATATGAACATTAATGTTTTAGAATAGAATCGAAAATTGATTGATAGAATTGGGTAATTTGATGTGCATGTTATATTCATAGTTTCTATGGCTTTTCATTCGAAGTCGTGTTCATAGATTGCTCCACATGATCTGCTACCCTGAGTCAGCGAGCCACACTCATCCGGACCTCGATCAGAAGACTATGATTACGAGGCTTTTAGAGGTAACTAATTAATATCATATTGAAAATTTAGTTCATTCACAAAGATATTCGTGGTCATTTTGCAACAAAACTTTAAAATGGACTTTTCATTTCATTCATTGTTTATCTTCATTGATTTTTTACAGATCTTTACCTGAAAAGAGACTTTGAGTGTAGTGTTTTCCTAAGTATTATTTTATTCATTAGTTTATTTTTTTTATTTATTGATTAAACATCATTTACAATACTCTTCATGGACGAACTAGCTTCAAAATCCTACTTGTGACTCCCAGAGGACCTAATCCGAATTTTTTACGTTAACGCGATCGAAAAGTGACCGCTTTTAGCCCTCTGATTGGCTGCTGCAAGTTAGCTAACCAATCAGAGGACTGTGATCAAGTATAAGAAAGTATCACATTCCTTTTTCTCCCCAGAATCTGGAACAATGGTCGCTACGTATGTCATGGCTGGACTTGCAACTGATGTTCAAGCAGTTCCCGGCCACGTCGCCTGAGCTGAGCGCGTGGTTGGACACCGTGGCGCGCGCCGTCATCAACGTCTTCCAACAACCCGCGCCGCCACCGCCTGATAAAGATAGGTGTGAATTTCAACCTTATTTCAGTACAAGATACGTTTGAAAATGTAATATCATATATTTTAAATACATCCATTTTGTCGCACCTTTGAATAAGCTGAGATAATGGAACGCCAGTGACATAATTTTTGCGTGTCGGACGTATTTGTCGCATCCGTCGTATCGGTCGTGTCTTTCGTATCGGTCGTGTTTGTCGTATTCGTCGTTTTGTCGTGTCCGTCGTATTGGTCGTGTTGCTCGTGTTTGTCGTATTCGTCGTGTCAGTCGTATCGGTCGTGTCGCTCGTGTTTGTCGTATTCGTCGTGTCTGTCGTATCAGACGTGCTTGTCGCGTCGGTCATATCCGTCGTATTAGTCGTGTTTGTCGTATTCGTCGTGTCGGACGTATTCGTCGTATCGGTCGTGGTTCTCGTGTCGCTCGTGTTTGTCATATTCGTCTTGTCTGTCGTGTCGGTAGTGTTTGTCGTATCGGTCGTATCGCTCGTGTTTGTCGTATATGTCGTATCAGTCATATCGGTCGTGTCACTCGTGTCGCTTGTGTTTGTCGTATATAAATTCATTTTGCAATAAATATAACTTAAGTATTGTATCGCTTCTGATGACATTAGTGACAGCCGTTCTGCTGTAGAAAATACCTACCCAGTTTCTACCAGAAGTCATTATAGGTATAGTGGTGATATACCTATAAACAAATATACTATTTCAATAAGCTCACCTATTTTTTCTTATAATTTTACATAGAAATTAAACTGGTAAATTACATTGTAAGGGTATAAAATATAAAAGGTTGGCGATGTATATTATGTTTGTATTCATGCCGTTATTTCCATGTCATCTAGCAGTGATGGGGCTATTAATGAATTATAGTAATATGGTTTAAGATTAACTAATTCGAAGATAGAAGTGATGTTATCTTTGTGTGGTCCAGGACGGGCACGGACCGCGGCGTCGTGAGTACGAGCAAGTGGTCGGAGTCCGTGTGGCTGGTGGCGCCGCTCGTGGCCAAGCTACCCGCCGCTGTACAGGGGCGCGTGCTCAAACAGGCAGGACAGGTAACTACATAATAATAATAGTATCTACATTCGAATATATATTTCGAGACTACATAATCTTTCATGTCTATACTCACCTCCTTCACACTCATTACTTACTAATTTTTTCAAGAGGTTCAAGAAGTTATTTGTTTCAATTTACTAATTCTCAAAAAAATATTGTGTCCCTTGCAGTTGAAATCAAGATGTCCATATTTGTTTGTTATATAATTAATCAATGATTGTTACTCATACCCAAGGATTTACCTAAACTCGAAACTTCTTTTGAGTTTGAATATTTTTTTAAATATTTGTTTTATGTTTTCATAGATTCTGGAGAGTGGTTGGGGAGCGGGATGTAGCGGAAACTGTTCTAGCGGTGGCGGTGGTGGAGGCAGCTCTCACAGAGACTGCAAGAGCCACCAGAGTCCCAGCTATAAAGGGTGAGTCGAAAACACTATTGTTGGCAAATCAAGTGTATAAAATCAATGTGTATAAGAAGCTTTCTGCTGACAACTCCATACACGATTGTCATGCGTACGAGTGAAAAGTTTTTTCGTGAAAAATCACTCTCATAAGACACCGCCGCGATAGGTAGGTGGAAACTACCTGGACGTGTCGATGTCGGGCGACGTCGCTAGGCACATCGTGCGATAACGTATAATTCGCGTCGCGCGACAGTTTTAACCCTAATGTCTACTAGTAAAAACGGGGCTATAGTTACTATTTGTATGTTTGTACGCAGGTCCGCAGGCGGCGGCAGTGGCGGCAAGCGCGGCGTGTCGGGCGGAGCGTGCGGCGGGGGCTGCGGCTGCGGCGCCGCCACCGCCGTCCGACTGGCCAACGAGCCGCTACTGTCGCTCGTACTCACCTGTCTCAGGCACCAGGACGATCAGAAGGTAAACACTCTTATTGTCTGTAACACTAATGTAATTTTAAACTGTAGTCTTTCTCTGATAATGGCTTTGAAATTCTGAATCATAACAGTATTCCCGTAGATATATCTAGATTTGTGTGGAAAATCGTGTTTTGTAGTTCAACTAGTCGGTGGGTCGTCTGCAATTGACTCTCATATATTGGCCAAAGACTCACACTTTTTTTACTTTGTAAAAAGTGGCTATTACTTTTACTACATGCACAGCGTTCATTTTCGAAATGTAAAGACAAAATGATGAATTTTGTTATGATAACTACATAACTGAAAATGAATCTTATATCTGAATTTCCTTCCTACAGGAGAGCCTCCTAAGCTCAATCCACGCTCAGCTCCAACACTACGTGACGCACGCATGCGCGGACAGTTGGCAGGACGACGCGGCCCCGGACGCTTTATTGCTGCGATTCTCCCTCGCTGGAGGAATGTTCGACGCCATCCGACGATCACACCAACTGACTGCAGACTGGGCCGTATTACTCACACAACTGGTCGCCCACCAACTCATCGATGCGTATAATAACAGGTAACTTGAATGCCAGGACGCGATTGTTTTTGTTTCGTGTGTGTGTGGTTTAGGTGATGGTCCATGGTGGTCAGTTACGTCTTGCATATTGGATTAGTACTGCTGTTATTGTGTGTGTGATTTCAGTGGTGGTGTTCAGTTGTGACTCCAAATTGTATAGTGCTGCTTGCAACGAAATTTATCTTTTATCTACAAAGCTCCTACCTCAAAGTTAATGATGAGAGCTACAAAAAAATGATATTTTGATTTAGAATGTATTACAGTGTTTTAACATACATGCAGGCTCACGAAATGAGTTCGTAATGAACGTTTTGTGACGCATTTCAAGTAATCTGCAGTTTTCTGTCGTCTGTGCTTCAAAGCACTCTTTAATGCACTTGGCGACGCGACGCTTTGTATACCATTCTGTATCCATAAGCATGTGTTTGACTTTACTCTGCGGGTTTGAAGGTTGCATTTACTATGTGCATGTGCACATCTTCGCAGTATCATTCTCATAGTCATTTTCGGGGGTTAAGGGGTGTGATGTCTGCTATTTTTGAAGTTTTTCACTTTTGAAGTGATAATGTTTTTTCGGGAGATTTCGAATTCCCATAAAATATGCATGAAACGGAACTTGCCTTTCCTCGAGTGGAGGAAACAGCCAAATCTGAAAATAGTGATGGGAAAAGCTTCGTGCAGATTGCTAAATGTTTTTATACACGGATCTGTCTATCCTTAACCCCTAATCTTTTATTCCGGCTTGTCCAAAGCCCTGTAACAATAACTTACAATCTCTTAAAGTGCAACTAAGCACAGTCTTCCATGCGACTCCGATCGCATATTCAACCTGTCGAGTTTGGGTCAGAATTCTGTGAGCCGCCGACTATCCAACAGGTTCGCCGGCAACATTGTATGGCCTGACAGACAGTGTATTTACAATAAATTAATATAGTTTGTGTCGCAGCAACCTGTTCTCCACTCTAATCGACATGCTTGCCACTCTGATACACTCCACCCTGGCCGACGGAGGGGACGACAACAATCGGAAACATTACCAGAATCTCATGAAGAAATTGAAGAAGGAAATTGGTGATCGCCACGGTCCGTCCGTGCAGTGCGTGAGACAACTACTACCTCTCTCCAAGAATACTATCATTGAAGTAAGTGATTTGTTATTATGATTTTAATTATGTAAATGGTTTTCTTAAGAATTGACAAGTTTCATTCATTTAATATACGTAGTTATGCTATCGTGATTCGAGTGTTGGATTAATACGCGATTTTTTGTTATGTGGCACTTTTCAATATGACTGAAAAGATATTACTAAAAATTACGTTTATGTGTATTGTTAGGAACACTACACACGACGACATTAACAGCTACATTTGTCAAATTAAACAGCTTGCTCACATAAACTGTTCGTGGATACTCGACTACTTTCAAGTCACAATCGGGGCTCGTCACGCAATTAACTGAATAATTTGATTTTATGTTGACGTGTGTACCTACATTTTTAAACACATTCATTCTGTTTGTAACTAATCCAAATCATGTTCAATCTTGTCCAATCCATGTGCTGTAAATATAAATGTTCTGCAGGTCATCGCGTGCGAACCCATCGGATGTCTCGTCGACCAGAAAGGGAACAAGATCACTGGATTCGATAGTGATAAGAAACAGGTGGGATCATTATTCATTGCATTATAATTATAATAATATTACAATGAACTTTACCTATATGTGCTAGCAAGTAAAATGTGGGGAATCACTGGAGAGATAGAAATCTACCTTACCTACTTTAATCCACGCTTGGCAGACGGGCTGGAGATCAATATCACACATGTTTGACGTATATAATATGACCAAAACATTGGTTTCAGGGTCTCCGTCTGACAGACAAGCAGCGCGTGTCGAGCTGGGAGCTGGTGGAAGGGGGACGGAACCCCGCGCCGCTGTCCTGGGCCTGGTTCGCCGCCACCAAGATCGAGAGGAAGCCCCTCACTTATGAAAATGCTCACAGGTATAATGAAGAACTTGATTGTTGTTATTTGTTTGAACAATACATATTTTCGTGATAACTTTTATTCCTCGACAATATAGAGAAAGGATATGTACCAATGGATGTGTAATTTTTACCAGTTAGTTGATTTGATCAGTTCCTTGTAATAGGATTACAAACTTTATCAGGTCACAGAATTCAGATTTCAGGCTTACTGAATATTTTTGAATTATATCCAATAATACTTTGTAACGCATAGGACTGACACATACAATCGACACTGCAGTAATTTAATTAAATAAAATATATTTCTTTCCAGACTCTTGAAGTATCACACTCACAGCCTGGTGAAGCCGCTGAGTTACTATCTAGAGCCCTTGCCGCTGCCGCCTGAAGATCTTGAAACAAATGATAGCAAACAGGTCAGTTACTAACTATTCACCATAGTTGCACAATAATTATAACACCACTGAAATACATAGAAAGAAGATAAAATTTACTTTCTTCAAAATTGTATTTAATTTATCAAGTTTCATATTGTTTTTCTAGGATAATGGTAGTCTAGATTCGAGTCCAACTGGCGCCGGAAAGGCGAGGTCACGCAACGCTCCGTGCAAGAATATCAAGAAATCCAAACCTACTACGCCGGTAACTATACAATATATTTAAATCTGTACTTTGAAAAACCCTGCTATTTTGTATGGGTTGCCCCAACTGTCATCATATCACAACACCAAAGAATTTATAACTTGCTGGTCTATAGAAGGGAGGCAAGGGGGAGGAAAAGGAGGAATATTAGGCCTCCGGGAGCCTCATTGTTACTTTATGCCGCTTTTATTTAGATTTATAAATAATCCTTCATTCGTAGCCGCACATCAAGGCTTTTTGTTAGCTTGATTTTCTTAATAATGAATATTTTTTTACAGACCAACGGTGTCCCAGCGCCGGGCGCGGCGGGCGGCGGCGTGGCCCCTGCGCCGGCGCAACAGCCACAGTTCATGCAACAACAACAACAGTGGTTCCCGCCGCCCGGCCCGGGACAGAACTATTACAACCCACCTGGTAATTTACACACATATTCGTAAATTATCTACTTTTGCGAAACTGGTCTATCCACCACGTAAATGAAGTCACTAAATTTATTTAAATCAGTAGATAGTTACTTTTAATTTTTCAGTCTAAATAATACTATATTTAACTCGTTGAGTACCGTCATTATAGACACAATTAAAGAACAATAGGTTCCGGTCACCGGTGACCGCTTGGTGTTTGACAGTTTAATGACGTAATGAATGATGCCCCTGACTTTCTCATTAACGCAACATCGTTCTATTAAGTCTTCCATTTAAAAGCGACTTTACAGCCAATATTTGCAGACATTATTTCAAAAATTATCGAAATAACATGTAATGTTTCTCAGCTGGCGTGAGTCCCCGCAGCGTGTCCGCGGCGCCGCCGTCCAACAACCAATCCAAGCAGGCACTCAGTAACATGCTACGACAACGAGTGCCATTTAACCAGATGACGCAGATGCAGGTACGATACTACATCATCATTCATGACCATTCTTCACGATCATTTTTGTCTCAATTACTATGAAAAAGTAACTTTTTAATCAATTTACTTACACCAGAGTAGAGGAATTATTTTGGGCAGAATTTAACTGGCAGTCTCCTAAATACAATTACAGATTTATTCTATTTTTGCAATAGTAAAAAGCGTAGATTCATATCAGAGAAGTTAGGTATGTGCATACTTCGTACATACACCTTAATTGATATATATTTGTTTGTACAGCAAAGCGGTGGCTACCCAGGCGCTCCCCACGCGCGCGCTCCGTTCCCGCGACAGACCATGCGACAGTTGCAACCCAACCAGATGGGAGCCATGCAGTCCGCGTAAGTATAGTACCATCCATCATCATCATCTTCCTGCCCCTACCACTAGTCACACACAACAGACGTCATCATTTTTCTCTCTTATAGTTAGTTATAGGTGGTGTGACACAAACTATTTTGTTTTCTTCGCTCGTCCTTTCCTTCCACCTCTGGACTTCTCATGGATAAACGAAGCTTTATCCATGAGAAGTAGCTTTTCTAAATTAGGCAGAGCAGAATATTAAAAATGTAACAACTTTTTTCAATTTTTCCAGTCAAATGAATCCAATGGGTGGAATGGGCGGTATGGGTCCAATGGGGCAAATGGGTGGAGTACAAATGCCGGGTCAGATGGGCGGTGGGCAGATGGCAGCCGGACAAATGAGCGCGGGACAGATGGGCGCCGGACAGATGGCGGGCGGGCAGATGGGAGGCATGGGAGGACAAATGTTTGGTGGACAGTACGGAGGCATGCAACAGGGTTATGGAGGGTATGGACAGCAGATGATGCAGGGTGGACAACAGCAAATGATGAATCAGGTATGTTGAATAAGTGGTATAAAATTCTCCTTCGTGTAAACATCGTAGTATGCTAGATATAGCTTTATAACACCTTTTATCTTTCAGGGTATGGGCCAAAGTGTGAATCAGATGGGCCAACAAGTCAACCCTATGAGTCAAGGAGTCAACTCCATTGGTCAGAACGTAGGTCAAATGAACCAGGGCGTCGGTCAGCCAACACAGATGCCTCAGTCTATGAGCCAGATGAGTCAAAGTATGGGACAAATGGGCCAGCCTATGGGACAGATGGGACAAATGGGACAGGGTGGCGGTATGTCCGCTATGAACAGCCAAGGCGGGTCTATGGGACCGCAAGGTGGCAACTCCATGGGTGGGTTCCCTGGACAACAAACATTCCAACAGGTACTAATTTTGTCACTATTATTATTATTAAGTATTAATGCTCAGTATTAATGAGAAATTCATAGTCAAAGCTACATATTTCCAATTTAACTTTTTGTTTGTAGAACATGATGGGCGGCCGCACAAGTCAAGAAGCATACCTGGCGCAGCAGAGACAGAGTGCTCGACCGCCTTACATGCAGGTTAGTACAATACAATAATGACATTTAAATAATACTTAATTATATTGTTCCAACATATTAGCGATTGTTTTATATTAACTGTCGAGAGACATGTTCAAATAATAATAGGTATTACAAGTTTCTCACTGTTTGACGACGTAACTACACTACTTTCTAACTACGCTAGAGGCTCAGAGTCAATGCGCAAAACGAACATAATTCTGGTCAAACAATAAAGTTAATATATATTAAGTAACAAAATTAATATAAATCCTATTAAAAAATTCTTACAATATGCTTATATTTTAACAGCAAGCGCCAAACGTAACAATGGGCGGTATGGGCGGCCCCGCCCCGCCATATCCACGCGGCATGCAGAGCCAACAGAACACACAGTACCAACAAATGAACCAACAACGCATGCGCCAACAGATGCTCGCCATGCAACAACAACAACAACAACAAGGGCCTCTCGTCCAACATCTGCAGCGACAACAGTACCAGCCCCCCTACTAGTCTACTGAACACCCAGATTATCAATTCTATCTTTCACTTATGAATAGGAACATCAACCAATTGTAATGAAATCTATAAGCCTGGTGGTACACTGTCTTATAAGCCTCGTGACACACTTACTTATGAAGTAAGTTCTAAATTCGTTCTCTGAAATAATTTCTTCTTCTCTAAACTTCGAGTCTGCCCTCGTTTATCAGTGATTTTCACTTGCCAAATACTTTTTGTTTACAGAAATCAGTAGATTTTTACTTTTTACATTATGCCAGTTCTGTTCTGACGTCACAATATATCGTCGAGGCGGTCCTATTCTTATTTGAAACGCAAAGTACCAAATATTCATCTAAAGTTATACTAGTGGGGATTATACCAAGACTATACATGTACATTTATATCATAATAAGTTATAAACATTATCCATGTTGTCTAAAATATATGTGTAGGTAAGTATACCTATACCATAGTTCTTTATAGCAGTTGCTTTAAAATTGTAAACAGTGTTACACCCATGTAACAGTTATGTTATCTAATTTATGAAATGTAACATCTATAGTCTTGGTCTACTGTGACAGAGAAAGCTATATTATTTTAAAGATATGCAGCAGTCTTTTTCACTATTGAACATCAATGTGACGGCCTTTGCATGTGACATTTTTGAATACGTATGCGTTTTTGTCACACGATCTTCACTTTTGTATCTATATGCATAGGTGCGAGAATTATGTGCATGCTTCCCCGCGTGTCTAAAATGCGTCCCATTTGCGTTCAATGTGCGTTAACACCGCGTTAAAATACGTCCTATGAAAAGGCCTTCAAGTACGTAGGTGATCTGCTCTGTAGAACTGTCTGACTGTTGGACAAACAAGGACCAAAATACATAAGGGTTTGTTGTAATTTCATTGAATGTCTTAGACCGAATTCCTAAAACGTAAAGTCGAAAATTGCATGTTTTTTAGTCATAATTTTTCTAAGATCTTGTAGTCGGCGGACCAAAAATAAAAGTGGCAACCAATCACAGCATTTAACGTAAGAATAAACAAATAATTTGTTTTTTTAAAAAATATCTTTTTCTAATTTCTTTTCAATTGTAAAGAATGTGAAGTAATCCCAAGTATCTGGCATGTCTGTACATTCAAACCAACTAGAAATGTGATATGCCGTCCATACACTTAATGGAAACGGCAAAAAGTAAAATTAATACTGTTAGGCTATTGGCTAACTACTAGAACTACACTATAGTTATCAGAAACAAGCTTCTTCGTATTTACCATTGTAAGACATCCTAAATTGAGGTAATACTCCAACTCACTCTGATAACTGTACATTTGTTGAGAAATTGGAGATTTTTAAGCCAAATATGATAAATTAATAATTATTTCATTACAAGTATAGTCTATGTAATATTATAACGCTCGCGCATGATTATAGTGGCATCACTTCTATAGATTTCACCAAAAAAATTGCGTAAAAAACATTATTTACTTTACTTTTCTGCAACTAAAGTGTAGTTCTATAACTTCTAGCATAATAAATACATATTTTCATAGACGAACACAGGACGAGTATGACGAGAAACGTTTTAATATTTTATAAATTATATCAATCGAATTATAGGAAACAATACAATTGTATTTATTTTTTATTAATTATAATTGAATGGTCTTAATTTATGAGTTCCTAAGTTTGTTATTATATTTTTTAATACTTGTCCTTACGGAATCGGGTTTTGTATAATTGAATCAAGGATCTATGATTATGTATGCTACTAAGAAAATTGGATGTACCTTTTTTATTACATTCTAGTACAATTATATCAACTCACAACCATGAGTTAATGTGTAAATAATTTGTCATTTATGTTAATTATTATAAGGATAATTTAGATGATAATCTTTGTTTTATTTAAAAATGATGAACTTTCCTTGACTAAATCAACACCACATAACATAAACATAACATCACGCCTTTTATCCCCGAAGGGGTAGGCAGAGGTGCACATAGAAGTAACACCCACTTTTCACTATTTATGTTGATGAGTCCCATGTAATAGGGGGTGAGCCTATTGCCATATACCGGGCACGTTTCCAGACTCCGTGCTACTACTGAGAATTTTTTAAAAACCCAGTAATACTTTGCCCGACCCGGGAATCGAACCCGAGACCCCTTGCCCGGCAGTCGCACTTGCGACCACTCAGCCAACGAGGCAGTCTGATTTCTGATGTATCTTTGTTGACAATAAATGGGGTTGCGCTAAAGGCTGCACGACTTACGACAGTGGTGGCCTAATTAATTGGAGCCTATAAGATGAGTGAGTAGTAGCGTACTACAGAATCACCGGGCTGTATGTCATTTCACGACATTAACTCGACTATAGAGAGCTTAATTTGTGTATCTGAAGCGTTTTGCATGAAACGAAACGCTGAAAGAGTGTTGTTTTGTTTACATGTCAATGTCAGCTGTCTGTCATTTTTCAAATGTGTTTGGTTATGTTGTGATAAACTCGCAATTTTTACTAACATTTTGATAAAATGTTTAATTATATTAAGGTTTCTAGAAACAGCATTATAAAATCTTTTATAAATGGCCACAGCTGTGAATGTATAACTAGAAATATACATAATGTCGGTCTGAATGATATACCCAAGATCACAACAACAGACATTCGTAAATTATTACGACAAAAAGGTTTAGCTGTGCAGGATGGATTCACGGCACTTACTACTAAATGTTCTATATGCTCTGGAGACCAGAAATGTGGAGATAGTAAAGTATATGTCAACAAAACTACTGGTTCGTAAAATTGTAAACATAACCTAAAAAAACATAGAAAAGTCCAATAATACAAAGTGTTAACAGCCGCCCTAATACTTACAGTCCATTGTTTTAAAAGTTAATGAGACAAAAAATGTTCTCCGCAGTAATGCATCAACACTTCTCGTCCTCCTTATGCATTAAAGATAACTTATCTTTCTGCTGTCCCTTAACTATAAAAATCAGCTCAATATTTATATGTCGGAAGGAAGTATTTATTTAAAAAATATTTTTCAGGCTACTTTGTTTGTCCTAAATGCAATGTGCATGGGGACTGGAATATACTAGAGAGACTTATCAAAAAAGCAAAAATTGAAGCAACTGTTAAAGATTTCATAGAAAAATGTCAAAAACAATCTGAAGAATTTCAAAATAATTGGAAAAAAGTTATCAAAGACACAGTATCTTTATCACAATTGAGTGAAACAGAATTACTTGATCTATTTAGATTATTTGAATTCCCAGTAAGTATTGTTTATCTTGATGATCATGATGCTTAGATTACATTTTATTATACAACACATCAACTATTATATAGTCTTTTACGGTCTACATTCTTGTTACATCTTCTTGTTTTATCGAATTTTTACAAATATTTAAAACCAAAGTCATGTTTAGTACATTATTCGACTCTGCTCGCAAAATGTACTACTACTTAGTATTTTTGACTTCCTTGTGTTGTAAGATTAACTGAATAATTAATTAAAAGGCATGTTAATGTGTTAAACATGTTTTGCATGCATTTCCTATTTGCAAATTATATAAGAAATATGTTTTAAGGATGGATTAAATGTTTTAAAGATTAAAGCTGAAGAGTTAGTTTGTTTCAATATGCTAATCTAAGGAACTACTGATTCGATTTGCAGAAAATATTTTTGTGTTCGATAGCCCATTTATCGGCGAAGGCTATAGGCTATAAAACATCACGCTACAATCAATAGCCGCCCAGCAGAGCGGGTTGAACAGCATGGAAGTAGACATTACCAACCTGTAGTTCAAAAATTATACACTAACTTTAAAAAGAGTTATCAGGGCACTCAGACAACTATGAAAAGGATAAATATATAATTAAAATTATTTTATTCCAGTTCCATCCTGAAGCCAATAAAGTATTATCAGAAGTGAGAGTATCATCTGACCATACAATATTGTATTTCCCTTTAAAAAACTCTCTGGACCATGTGGTAGGCTACCGGAAGGTCCAAGCTGGGAGAGAGGATGAGACTGAGACTCATGGGCTACATACTGCAGGACTATTCTCATGTAGAGTGCCGAGGGTTAGCCGTAGCGACCAAGCAATACTCGTACCTACCATACAAGATGTGCTACATTTAGCTGCACAAAAAATTCCTGGTAAATATATTTTTGTTGTTTTCTCATGAAACTCTGATTTTTTATGAGATAGTGTTGTAAGCGAACCGACAAATCACCCAGTAGTAAGCAATTGGCCAATAGACACCGACAACACCAGAAAAGCGTCAAGCTGACTACAGCTGCAGCCGACCCATTTTGGGATTAGAAATCAGATGAGGGAGAGAAAGATCAGGTCTCCGGTAACCTTAGGTATCTACTCATTGCGGCGAAACTCGAGATATAATTTATTTATTTCGGTATTCTAGGAGCTCTAGTCTGGCTGAGTAACTGCAGCCTACCGCCGATCGTGTTGCCCACTCTAGAGGCATACCAAAAACTATGTCTTTGGGGAGACTGGGACAACATGCGCGCCGTCGCAGAGAAACTTGGCGAAGAAAGATGTCGATTTGTCAGGTTAATCATTTTATTCATTTCTATACATCTTTCACCACCACAGCCTCTATTAAATGGGGTAACGGCGACATATCCACGTTCACCGTGGAGTAGCGACTTCCACAACTAACCCTGGTCCCAATATACTATGATTTATCCTATATTTTTGTCTGAAATGTTTCGAAAACTGCTAAAATTAAAATATTTATTTAACATTTACAGGCCAACAGATGGTCTAGTGACGGCCTCAGAAGCAGCTGCAGCGGACCTCCCACTCAAGTCCTTAGTAGCTGAAGCAAAACCTGCTGCACATCGGTCCATCACGACATTTGCAGCGCTGAGAGACGACGTCTACTTCGAAGTCACTAATGTCGACCGGGTAAGTTCATAAACTTAATAAAAAATATTTGTGTAGGCACTAAAATTTTGTGCTCAGTGTGTAGTAAGAATCCCTTCAAGTGATCTGATCTTAAGGTACATTTTTGTTTGTAATGGCAACTGAATCGTTCATAATAACACTACTTATGAACATCTGTGTGCTCACATAACGTTCTTGTCAATATTTAATCAGGTGCGCGGAATAAAATGGCGTCGATTTCCCGCGCTAACTCGGCTACTAGGTGGTCACCGGCGCGGAGAGCTCACCGTACTCACAGGACCCACCGGCTGCGGTAAAACTACGCTATGTGCAGAAATATCATTGGACTTGGCGCAACAAGGGGTAAGATTTTTTTGAGACATACAGATTGATGGTAAGTGTTGAGCGCCATCTGTAGGTACCCGCAATACCAGATGATAAGTCACAGCTGCATTAGGTACCTACCGGCCTTTGTAGAGCACAGGTCGGTCCTCTTTACTCACATGGCGTCACGCCGGTTCCATTTTCTGTGAGGCCGTGATATTCGATTTGGTGAAGCCTCGTTTAATTCTGTTTGTTTTTTTATAATCGACGATATTTTTAATCTTCTTAACATTTTACATCACTTTATTTTTTTCACAGGTAAATACTCTATGGGGTAGTTTCGAGATCCGCAACTCTCGGTTGGCTCGCACAATGCTGCAGCAGTTCGCTGGAGTGCCTTTAGAGCAGAACCTGCAGGACTTCAACAAGTTTGCCGATGACTTCCAGAAACTACCCATCTATTACTTGGCCTTTCATGGTCAGCAACCTATCAAAGTTGTTATGGAGGTATGATAGTGAGGCCATTTCTATACCTATACTAGATATAAAATTGAAATGTAAATACATTGGACACTAATAAGAATGTAGAACGTTCTTCAAATTCTCTAAATCCATAATGCCTCTAAAATACGTACTTTTATGGTACCTAAGCCTCGAAGTTCTAAGTAAATATTTAACACGCAATTATCACCAGTTTATAAGTCACCAGATAAAATTTCGGATAGGTACAGATTTGGGAAATTATTTCCGAAACCCTTCGCTTGGCAGTCGTAATGCACCTCCACTGCGATAGCTTCAAACGTCTTGTCAATTTTTATCTCAATTCACACTCATGAACGGTCTCTTAAAACGACTCTGTTTGTTCCCAGGCAGTAGAACACGCGCGGTACATGCACGACATAGCTCACGTGGTGGTTGACAACGTGCAGTTCATGCTGGGGCTGGGCGAGGAGAGGGAAGGAGACAGGTACCACCGGCAGGACGCCGTCATCGCAGCATTCCGCACCTTCGCCACCGCTAGGCACTGCCATGTTACACTCGTCATGCATCCTAGGAAGGTAATCTACTTTATTTAACATTTTACTCATCTATGAATGATAGGTACAATGTCGTAGTTCACTGTGCAGAGATGAAAGGCATAGTCAGTTACACGTAGTGTTGTATTGTTAGTTTGTCGTGTAGTGTTTCAAATACCTACGAAAACGATGACAATATACTATCATGCGTTTGTAATTCATTAACTTTATTACCTTTTTATTCGCAGGAACGTGAATCGGAGGACTTGTCAACAAGTTCTATATTTGGCAGTGCGAAAGCTTCACAGGAAGCTGATAATGTTCTCATAATTCAGGTAAAGAGACATCATGCGTACTTATTATTATTTACATTAATTAAACCCGTCATCATAAGAGAATACACCTGTACTGTTTACTTGTATTGAATAAACGAATAAATGAATGTAGTCTGAATGAAAATTAAATAATGAAACTTTTTCCTTACAGGATAAACGGCTAACAGCAGTTCGCGGCAAAAAGTACCTCCAAGTAGCCAAGAATCGTTATAGTGGGGAGCTTGGTATTGTTCCCCTTGACTTTGACAAGGATGCGCTCAGCTATCAAGCCAAGAAAAAAACCAAAAACAAACAGGATGAACCCGACAAACTATTGAACCAATGCATCAAAGAATACACAGTAGATGACCCCAACTATATCGAAGATTTCGAAGACAAGAGACCAAGGGTCGATTACTCAGGGAAATTACAAAATACCCGTCACAAAGACCAAACCAGTAGTTATTTAAGTGATATTTTGTATACAAAAAGATAGTCTGTAAGAACATAACTGCTTCTTCTTGTACAAATGTAAATAAAACACAGTTAATTATCTAATTTGTGTTTAATTTAATCTTATACCTACGGTCGATAAAACATCCTTACTTAGATAAGAACAAAATGTCGAACAAAAGTTTCGTGTACATTTTGCTCTCCAGCGGTAATTAGTAGGATGAGAGAAGTTTTAACAAAAGGCGGTGAAGTTTTAACAAAACGATGGCGGAAGGAGCAGCGGTAGGCAGACTCCTATCCAGACTGACTCTAACTGCCTAAATAAATATTGTTTCCTTTTGACTCATTGTTAATGTGTCGTATCTTCTATACTTTTTCTGGCTGACGGACAGCGAAGTTAGTAATATCTCAAAAAACTAGAGGTTTTTGAGAAAGATGAACTATGAAAAAGAATAACGAAAAGTTCGCCACCCCCGCAGCAAAACTTTTTCAGATAAGGGATAGAGTGGTAATGATCTTGGCCGGTCACGGACCCACTTCGAACCCGCAACACGTTACATAGCAGTTGGCAACAGCCACCAACAGTGTAGTCAGTCAATATATAGATAGTTAGTTTGTAGTAAAGTAAAATGATTAAATGCTTGTCTGATAGCATTCTTTACACATTAAAGGATTTATCAGGTCTGTAGTTCTACATTTGGTATCATCATTATCGTCATTAAACCTATCTAGATACACAGATCAGTATTTTCAAAAGTAGGTCGTATTCAGATATGTATATTTGCCATTTTCTTTACTTATGACCTTATTATAATTATTATCTACAGATATGCGGTGGTCGTCGTTTATGTACCTAGGTGCATCAACATATCGAACATACACTGCGCTCGCTATCACCAATATTGCAAACAATGGGTCCTCTCTTTGTTTAGGTTCATATAAGAAACAATAGTACAAGTGTTGAAATAATATAGAAACATGTTTTCATTTCATTTATTGACATCAGCTGTGCGCTACAGTCTATCGTATCACCAGTAATGATATGACAATATTTGCTATGAAAAATATATTACACAGATAATGATGGTTTTAGGACGGCAGCAAATATAATCAGCCAATTTAACCATCTACGGATATTTGAAACACATTAATAAATAATGTTGATACATGAATGCACAGATACCAATGAATCTAGATCACATTGGCATATTCATATTACAATATTTCGAACCCAGTAACCCATTCAAGTACTAGTGATTTTGCTTAAACTGCCAATATTAGTACTTTATTTTTATTATAATAATATCATCACTTAAATACATAAACATTCATAAGAAAATATTCCATGAGCTACCAAAGTAAAATTTTTATTTCATACTTACAGCAAACGATATTCTATAAAATATTTCTACTCAAAATGATAATAATAATAGTTTGTTATATTATAATTAATATAACTGTTTTGCTACAGCAACATCTTTCTTTAGTTAATATAATAATTATACAATACACTTTGTTTAAATAACAATATAATTAGCCCAAACAAACTAGATTAATTCAAGTCCACTTTTATCAGTTAGGTCAATATTGATATCAAATCAAAACATCTATGTATGTAGGTCAAAAAGTATTCTTACTACAACATATTATTATATAACTTTTCAGATTTTTCTACCGTTTATAAAAATATAATCTACAATGCAACTTATACATATAAAATAGATTCATCTAGTTATTCATATCACATTTTATTAACATCTGTTATGCTTTGTTCGCACTATGCGAGTATTTTAGTCGAGCAGTGAGTGTTTAGCATATCCCTCTCGCTTCTGTCCCAAAATCGAAGCGAAAGAGAGTTACTAAATACTCGCTACTTAACTAAAATACTCTAGTATTTTAGTGCGAACAAGGCATTAATGACAAGCCAAATTGTTTAGTCATTTGAATATTTTTTGCTACATTAGAGGAGCTAAGTATTACTGCATAAATATATTATTTGTTGTTACCTTTGTGTATATTTTACTAGGAAACATTTTTAAATATTATTTTATGACCTTAAAACTATTTATTATAATTATTATATTTGGTTATGGTATAGGCATGTACTCAAATATATTATTTGAGAGTTTCTCTTTCTGTGTTTGTACATCTGTTGTCATTTAATCCTGTCCTGTATTAAGACTTAGAATATGGTTTAAGTATTATGGATATCATCAGTTAATAAGTATACAATAATTCAACTGTAAATCAAATAAAATGCAAATTTTGTACAGAAAATATTGTGTAAAATATAGCATGAAACTGTTATTTAATGAATTGAGACTGTACAGCCTGTATCAATGATGCCTCATTAGTACGATTCTGCCTTCTTTTACATTTGGGACAAGGTATACTGGCATTAAGACATTTAGCATGAAACACGCTTGAGCACTCGTCACAACGATATGTTGTGCTTGTTTCAAAAGGATAAAGTATTTTAGGGTCGCGACATACTTCGCAAATAAAGCCTTTTTGGCTACATAACCAACATTCCAATACATGAGTTCTAGCAAAACCTACCACCTTCTCCAACTGCAGTGCTAAGGAACCATTAGGTATGAGAGCCAGGTCAGATATAGTGTACAAGTGTAGATGTTCATACAAATACTCTCTAGGCCACACACGTTTCTGTAACTCTTCAATGACAGGCTCTCTACAGTTAAATATGTATGCTCTCAAGAAATTCAGTTGAATCCTTAGTTCCTGCAAGTGAGCCATATCTGATACTCCATTATAAATTTTTGGGTTTAGTTTTTTCATATCTATCCAAGGGTGATGTTGAAATTCTAACAAAAAGAGAGCAGACTTCTTAGAGACTGGGTATCTTTTGAAATCCCAGTTGTGTATGACTCTTGCTGGAATAATAAACACATTGGGGTCCATGCAGTTACAACAGTAGTACTCTCCAGTATAAGCACATACTTTGGCTTTAGAAATGGTGCTGCCCAGCAAGTCCTGGCATCCCTTACACTGATAGTTTTGATGATCAAGACCTTGCTCCCTTGACAAAGTACCTATCTGTGATATCATCTTCTGCAACTCTTGGACAGTAAATGATGAAGACATGGTATTGGGAACTACTTCAAAATCCAGACCTTGTAACATTGGATCTTCAGGACTGACTGTTTCCACATTCAAATCACAAATATCTGTATCTTCTGAGCTTAACTTAAGTTCTTTGTGAATATCTTTCATAATATCTCTTAAGTTGGGAGTAGTTGTACAAGTTTCTCCAAAAGGATTTGAATTATCCACTAATGATGATAAACTCTTTAGTTCCGGTGTTTTTATCATACTGCTGCCATGAGATGAATTGGAATTGATTGAGGCATTCATCTCATCATTGTTGTCAGTAGACCAACCCTTACCACACAGTGAATTCCCAGTAACAACAATATCTGCAGGAGCAACAAAGTCCTCAGAGTTAACAGATGAAGGCGAAACACAAGTACCATCTACTGGGTCGTGGCTGGTAGAAGGCTGTTCCATTTCAACTGGTGTTACTTTATTTTTAGACTTATCAGATTCAATTTTAGCTTCTTCTTGTATTTTTGGTATTGGTAAATCTTCTTTTTCTTCAGGTTCATAGCTTCGACTAGTGATATCTTTAATATCTTTAGATAGAATGAAATCCAAAGCTTCATCTTCATTTAAAGCTAGCATGCGGCCCAGTCCTGTGATGTTAGAAGTATGTGTGGGTGTTGACACTATCTTGGGCTTGACTTCCTCATCTGTTATGGTACTGGCTACATCTAAAGCTGCACTGATAGGAGCTTGTCTTATCTTAGGCACCCATATGCCAGCTAACATCAAGACTTGTTCAGGCCAGTAGTTTAGCAGACTTGAATTTATGGGTAAGTTAAATTGGACACATGTTTCCAAGCCTTCAACAAGTTTTTGAGCCACTTCTAATATTTCAGAATCACATACAAATGCTGATCTGTTATAGAAAGGCTTCACAGCAGATATATTCTTGAGGAGAGTTGACATATATGAGGACAATAGGCACTCATTTAAAGCAATTCGCAGCCATGCACGACATTGACCTATTTCTGTATTGATTTGAGGCAATGAAGATATTTGATCTATGTTTTGACGGTGAGACAAGACAAGGATAAGAGGCCAAAAGTTTGGCTGCGGCTGCTGGTCGGACTCACCCGTCAAAGCATTCTTAGCTTTTCTCAGAAATGTATCCTTCAAGCCGTGTAGAAAAACTGCCTCTAGCGCCATACATAATGTGTTCGTAGAGTCAGTAGAACCCAGAACGCTGTGGAAATTCTCTTCGAATTGATTGCTGTATTGAATATCTTTTACACTTTCTGACAAATTGTTTATAAGCGCTTCTTTTAGCATTGAATCGCGACTTCGGACTGTGAATCCAGATGCCACATTTTTAAAGAAAGACATTATTGCGATGTATCAAATTGATAAACAAACAAAATTACATTATCTTCCTCCTCTCATAACAAAAATGTAAGTTTCAAGGGAACCACTATTTTTAATCGTCAAAAGTTTAACAATAGCTGAACTACGTCTGAAATGTCATATTTTGTTGTCACTTCAACTAGTACTTTTAATATACATAAACGTTTATTTTTCGTTTGTAGCTGATATTAGGTTTATTATTGTAACTCCAAATATGTTTTATCACACAATAACATCACAAATCACAATCAACTCGCAACTTGCTTGTCCTTGTTATGCTACTATTTTTTTTTCTGTTTATTATTGAATAAGAATTCGGATTCATTCTCCGAAAATATGTTTAGTCGATTAATTAATTAGAATTCGAAAACTTAAAAAGTTATTTATTAATTTTGATTTATAGGAACAATAATTACGTATTACTTTTGCGTAGTTAAATGAAAATTAAAATTTCGTTATCGGATAAAATAGTTAAAAATAAAACACTAATATCAAAATGACAAAAGACACGTTTTTACTATACGTTCCTAGAGTTCATTCGCTAATTTCTCTGTTTGATATTGTCAATGTCACTATTGTCAGTCTATAAACACTAAAATAAAGGATTTTATTGTTTGTTATTTCTCAATTACAAATAATTTAGTGCTTAAAGATAAAATTGCCTTTAATTTATATATTTTGTTTTCTTTTGTGTTAATCGCCTTAGTAACCTAACTTTCTAGTAGTTATCTTAAAACTGTTTTTCTTCGGTATTTATATCTCAGCAGCTAAAAGGCATGTTTTATATTTTACATTTTATTGTATTACTTTCATATTTTTCGCGTAATATTTGTATATTCGCTGAGCAATTTCCACGATCTGAAAAAAATGGGCAAGGTAAAAACATCATTTTCTATATTGTTTTTCTTATCTTTTGTTTACATAACAATATTATGATGTTTGTTATAAATTATTGTTAATTTTTAGAATTACTTCTCTGTCGTAAATGCGGCGCTGACGTGGCAGACTCCTATTACTTGTTCAGTAAACCAAGTCCAGGGGCTAGGAAAACTGAAAAACAACACTTATTTGGACAGCAGAATGTAACTGTCCAAACTTTAATCAATCCGTTTGGCATCAAGTTTGAAGTAGTTACTGCAGAAAAAGCGAGATGTGATAATATAGGACCTGTAAGTACATTAAAAGTTAATACAAATATTGAATTAATATTTCAGTTGTTTACTATAACTTGCATATTTAGAATCAGGGAGCAGACTCGTGGTTTCCTGGGTACAGCTGGAGGATATGTGCATGCCCACATTGTGGTCAGCATCTTGGTTGGACATTTGAAAAGACAGACAGTATTATAGAAAAACCTTCTAGTGAGAATATAAAAACTTTTCATGGACTGATCTTGAGGAACATTCTAGGTGAAAACTGTAAGTACACAACAATTTTATTATTTGTCAAATGAAAATGTAATTTATATATAAGTAATTTCAACAATATGTCTTTTGTTTCAGTTACCGACTCTCTTATAATGATGCCTAAAATGTATAAAATGTAATATTAAGGTCACAACTTGTCCAAGATTGTGTTATCCTGTAAGTATTGTAAATGACTGTTATCTTTATACATTAATGGTTTTTCAATGTATTTAAAATTGTAAAACATTGTAAGGTTAAATATAAAACAAATATTTATGAATCAAATATTTTATTTTCTTACTTCTCTGTATAACAAAAATACCGCAGTATACTTAGGATCAGCTTTAGCAATCACAAAAAAAAAATTAGTCAAACAAAATAATTGGAAACTAAAACTAACTTTGACATGTCATAAAATAATCTGAAAATGTACTTAAATGACATACATTTAAACAATCTTACAACTAGTAATTAGAAAATAGACAAAGATCTTATAATACTTGCAACCTGTCATATTCGATAAACTCTATTTCTACTTAGTTTATAGGCAGCTGTTTATTGCATTTAGTTGACCATAATATTAAGTTTTAAAAGCTACAATAAAACAACTACTGCACAAATACCTACTGGTACATAGGTACAAGTTGCCAGGTGATCAACCAACAAGATAAAGTGAGATGGGAAGGCAATGTCAATGGCTATAAAATGCTCTTACTAACTGCAGTTATATGCACATTATATACTACAATGTATTATCCCTGAATGCCCAGTCTTTGTTATCATATTCAATATATTTTGGTAAAATTTTGAAAAACAAATATATCTTGCAAATGAAATCAGTTTGAACACAATTAATGTAAGTAAGATCAAATGTAAGATCTGTTTTATCATTATGATTATCTCTTAGATAATTTTCTTACAATGACTCAAGTTTTAAAAACATCAATAAAAATAGAATTGGAATTTGGCATGAAACTTCGCATTTATATTACACCTAATTTTATCGAGAGGTAGACACACTTGCAATTTAAATAACACTAACATTTATTAGCTGTGCTTAATTAAACACCTTATTCCTTAAATAAAATATAAACACACAATGAAAAATCACCAACATTTTTTCAGTATACCCATAATTATGGAAATATAGCAAAACAAGCCTGCTGAAATTTCAGCTGTACTCAGTGCAATAATAAGTAAATGAAAACATTTTTAAGAAGGTATCAAGTTTCTTGTCAGGTTAAGTTAGGAAGTATTTAGTTTTTTTTTTATTCAACTTAGCTTAATGATAGAATCACAATTTATATTAATTAATTTATGAACTAGCAAATCTCTGATGTAGTGACTGTCCAGTGGCAGCTGGTGTTGGAGAGAAATTGATACCAGTTGGAGCCTCACTATTTGCAGTGCTGCCATATGTTTTACCTTGAATAACAGCTATCTCTTTTTGTAGTTTAGCATTTAGCACTTGTTTATTCACAAACTTTCTGCCAACACCACGGTTACCACCACGGCCTCTGCCTCGTGAGCGGTTGGAGCCTCTACTAGTATTTGATCTGTTAGAACGGTTGGACCTGCTAGATCTGTTTGATCTATTTGATCCCATAGATTTAACACTGCCAGGACCTCTCCTTGTGTTGTAGCCACCAAACTGATTATTTAATTGTGCTAAACTCTGTTTATTTAAATAGCCAGCATTACCAACACTGTTACGACGCTTCTTAGCAAAATCATTAGCAACACTTACAGTCAGTTGGGAAGGTGAACTGAAAGAATTATTTCTGGAACGTGTGAAAGTTTGAGATTTTATAATATTGTTTCGAAGGAGCATATTTTGTCGCTCTTTTAAAATTTGATCTGATCTCAAACCTACTGCACTATACCTATTGCCAGTACTCAAACCTCTTCCCCGTTTTGATATTCCTCTCTTGGCTACAGCAAGAGGTCGCCGAATGTTATTCATTCCTCGCCGTGTTGTAACACCAAGTCTGCTATGAACATTGCTTTGAAGATTGGGGTTTGAATTTGCCCGTGATAGTCTTCCTCGTATACCACCTAGAATTAAAAAAAAAACATTTACAATACCAAAAGAAAAGGTTTACAACAATTTTTTTGTACTTCCATGTTGGCAAAAATGGACACTGGTTACAGAATATCACATCTGTTGATCCTTGAAGAAGTAAGAAGTCCACACAAATATCTTCTATAATAACACTTTCTCAATTATGTTTAGAGTATGTAATAGAGGGTGAGCCTTATTATACTATACACTGGTCACAACTTAGAAGTAACTAAAGAATCAATTTTACCAATTCAATTTATAATTTATCAACAATTTGCACACCTCTGTTCATTCGATTGCCCCTTACAAGTTGAGGCATGACAGACTGTTCTTCTAATCCCGCTCGGCCTTTAGGTGTCAGGCCTCTCAGTTGAGAGCGAGATCTTGATGCGGATCTGGCGCGGGAGTTCGAACGACGCTGTCGGGAGCGAGAGCGATTGCGTGATTGAGAACGGGGTCGTGATTGGGACCTGCCGCCACCAGGACCACGAGAGCGGGAACGTCCACGTCTAGTTCCGGCCGGCGTATTTGATCTAGTTTGTGACCTAGCACGCGCAATCGCTCCACGCCCACGACCTCTGCCACCTCTGCCTCTACCACCGCCACGACCACGAACATTCCCGCTGCCACCTCCACCTCTTCCTCGTGATCTACTTGTTCTGTTTTGTTTTATAATTTCATCTGAAATGTAAACGTATGTACAAATTACGTATACGTGTTGACAAATTTTGCTACAGTTGGCGGGTTTTCGGATTCCGTTTCTAAGATTTACATTAATACTCAGTTACTGAACTGTAAATAAACGACACGACCACGTAGTATTGTTTACCGTGCGTGTTGATTATACTGATGAATAAATATTGCCGTGAAATTGAAGCTTTGAAAATCTTACTAATATCCAAAAATAGGAGTGTGGAACGTAATATAGAATCACGGTTGTACGACACTACTGGATGCAGAAAGCATGGCTCATAGAAATGTCTATTCTCAGAAAGCACGTTTCGCCGAAAACTTTATTGTTAGAAAATATTGTTCGTAGATATCTCGTTCCATAGAAAGCACTAGCCATAGAAATCTTTATTCCTAGACAGCTCGTTTTGCCGAAACCTTTGTTGGTAGAAAATACTATTCGTAGATATTCTGTTCATAGATAGAATTTTTCACCTTGATTCACAGAAAGCAATGGTAACTATGAATATGCATATGAACAAAATGGAAATAAAGGTATTTGTTTGTTTATCCTAGTTAAAAAAAAAATTGTCATATGAATAAATCTGGTTTGTTTTTTCTGTTTCTGAGAAAAATCCGTAATAATACTATTGTTGTTATGTGTCTATAATACAATTTACAAAACAAGATATACAGTCTTCAGATAATACTTTGCACTGTCAGTTTCTACGTAGGTTAGGTGATATTCTGATAGAAATAACAACTAAAAATGAAAACAAATATGCAGTGGTCAGTACATATGATATTCCTAAAACACAAAACGTATTGGAATGTATATTTTGTTTTATTAAAATTGTATTATAGACACATAACAACAATAGTACGGATATTACGGATTTTTCTCAGAAACAGAAAAAACAAACCAGATTTATTCATATGACAATTTTTTTTTTAACTAGGATAAACAAACAAATACCTTTATTTCCATTTTGTTCATATGCATATTCATAGTTACCATTGCTTTCTGTGAATCAAGGTGAAAAATTCTATCTATGAACAGAATATCTACGAATAGTATTTTCTACCAACAAAGGTTTCGGCAAAACGAGCTGTCTAGGAATAAAGATTTCTATGGCTAGTGCTTTCTATGGAACGAGATATCTACGAACAATATTTTCTAACAATAAAGTTTTCGACGAAACGTGCTTTCTGAGAATAGACATTTCTATGAGCCATGCTTTCTGCATCCAGTAGTGTCGTACAACCGTGATTCTATATTACGTTCCACACTCAAAAATAGACAAGAGTGTAAATCTGCATATTAAAAAGCAAGCACATATTTACCTAAAGACATATTCACTGTATCCGCCATTGCTTACACTTTTATTAGAAAAAGTTGTATTTTCAGGATACTAATTGTGTATATGAATTTCAATGAATTCTATACAAAACACGAATAGGTTAGCATTTGGATGAAAGAAAAATGAGTGATTTGATGAATGATACGAAGATACGAACGAATGAACTGAACTAATAGAATGAATTGAATTGATGGTTAACTGAACCATAGATTAATCACGCCTAATGGCACAGATAATATACCTTCAGAGTTTACTCATTTCGGTATTAGGCCAAGGTATAACAACTTTGAGTACTCTACTCACACACATATTATTAAAATAATTTGAACATGTCTGCCTATTTATACCAAACAAAACACCAATGGCTCTAAATGTCATATTTTGTTTAATTTTTGGCCTGCCTCGTTGGCCGAGTGGTCGCAAGTGCGACAAGGGGTCTCGGGTTCGATTTCCAGGTCGGACAAAGTATTACTGGGTTTTTAAAAAATCTCAGTAGTAGCACGGAGTCTGGTAATGTGCCCGGTATATGGCAATAGGCTCACCCCCTATTACATGGGACTCATAACATAAATAGTGAAAAGTGGGTGTTACATTGTACAGTGGCATTAAGTGCCGAAATGTGCACCCTGCCTACGCCTTCGGAGATAAAAAGGCGTGAAGTTACGTTATATGTTGTCAAAATAACCCTGTCTCTCACAGATAACATTATCTTGTTTGTTGTAGCATTTAAGGCCAATTCAATAACACAAGTCACCAATGTTTCTAAAAGTTCAATTAAATAAAAACCCGTAAAAGTAAATAAATACATATCGCCGCGTTGAGTAAATCTAAGAGGGTTAATTGTTTTACAGCTGATCTTTCCTTTTGATTGATTTGATTCATAATTTTGTCTTTTGGAAATAAATTAAAACTTATTTCCGAATCTCCGTAAGTATTACATTGAGGAACGCAACAATATTTTGTGTGTGCCACAACAATAAGTGTCTGCTTTTATTAAAAACAGGTTTCTATGTAATCGTGATGAATTTGATTATGTCCTCAACTTGAAAGCAAAGTGTCGTTCTTAGACAACTTCTAAATTTCGCCGCCATAGGCGCGCGGCTAATCTTTGCATCGCCAATATTAAGGTACCTACCTACAGGTAGTTTACTACAATAGTTGTTGTTTGTTGTCTAGTTGACTGTTGAAGTCTAAATAATTATTATATTTTACGACTTTAAACGATTTGGATATCAAAATTAGGCCAGAGTGCGTCCTAAAACTGATTAGCCAACTACAACAACAGTGTTTCCACTTTCCACGTCTCAATTCAAATTTCCCCTTCTTAAGACTTTTTTTCCTTAACAAAATATTTTGCTATAGTTGATTAGGTACTAGTATACCTAGTATGTACCTGTACTTCTTATAATAATAATATGCCTGCAGGACACCTCGAGGCGAGGTGACGGGCATTAGCGACCCCGCGGGCTACCATCATCCCGAGTGCTCCAGGGAGAAGTCACCGTTCCTTATTATCCGGATTGCCTTAATTGGCTGGCTGGAGTGAACGATGACGAGGAACAGGTTCCCCATCTCTGGCTTGCCTTCATTGTCCGTCCAGAGTAGAGTCGCGAGCGCAGTGATCCTGCTCGGAGGGTAACAAACTATTCGTAAGGCGCATGTGGGCTAGGGATGCAGGAGGTTTCTGCTGGAGCGTATGATCTGAGTAAAAAGTGGTGGTAGGACTAGGGGTTTTTAACCCTTCAGTCACTCACATTTCCGTTGCCCCTCTGTTGTTATATCGAGCAACCATTCCCGGGGCCCGGTCGATAAGTTGGCGAGTCTCCGCCTGCCATTTTTACGTGTAATACTTACATTGTTTCGGCAGGTGCCATAGTCATCCATATTTCACAATTTACCAGTGCACAGCATCCCATCCATATCTCTACCTTTTTTCCATTATCCACAAAAGTTGTACACTATCCGGGGACTGTCCTTGGGTGCATTTCCATAGTGCATACAAGGATAGTCGCCAGTTTGTGTGTCCATCACATTTAGATTAAAGTTATCTAAAAGGCCTCTGCGCAGTTGGCTTTGGCCCCTCGTATATTACAAAGGCGGCCTTAGCGCTAAAAGCGATATCATGACTTTACCAAGTTGGTACACCCGTTCATATCGATTTACCTACTATTAATGTAAATATAAAAAGACTGGAAGAATTTTAACTTATCGTGGTTTATTAACAAAATGAAAATAGGTGGAAATAAATAACATTATATATTTTCACGTCGTATTAATTTGTACATTATGTATTTCTTCTTAAATGTAAATTATTCTTCTAAAAAAGGCAACAACGCACGTAAAAACCAATTGAGTTATAAACGAGTAACAATGCCGTTATACTGCCAAGAAATACTGTTCCTCTTGACATTTACTTATTTTCTATTCCTACTATTTTAGTACAAGTAAATTAGTTATATTTAAATTACAACAAGTAATTAGCACCGACAGGAGAGCATAGTTTAATTTATAAGTTACTACTATACATAATTTTGTTACTAATATTTGTGTTAAAATTAATATTTAATTGAGAAGAATACATGTATAGCCATAGAAATTGTGTTAAAATAAGGAATGGAAATGTATATTTCCAATACCTAGTACAACATATTTATACAAGTCTGCTGGTTGTAAACCATACACCTTAGCTTAAGATTAAACTTTCTAAGGCATGCTGTGGCCTTCAAGAACCGTATAGTGCACTGTACTGGTCCAAGCCCACGCAATATTTGCCTTTGAGAATTATCACAATAGTAACTCGTTTGGCAGTACAACGGCAAATTAATTGTTGACAAAGTTTATTCCATACATAATCATAAAAACTAATTGTAACTTCCTGTGCGAATATTCGATACACTTTCTGATTTGTTTGATAATTGACTAATTATTTAATATGTACAGACTAAAATATTATTACGATATTTAAACATATGAGCTGAGTTTGTAAAATGAATCACAGTTTAAGTAAATGGTGTTTTAACCCGAAGGCCATAATTGTAGGCTTTTGTCATTAAGGCCATGATTTGACAGGCAATATTTAGAATTGTTATTACAATAACAGGTTTGAGTAATTAGATGACATGGTTTTGATATCGGTATTATCAAACTTAAGTACACATTTACAGTGCTACAATTGGAGAGGTAACAATTTGTCAAGAAGCCGTGCAGATTTTGAGAAATTATTTACAAAGTTACTCTGTAACAGTATTTAAAATTGCTCAAAGAACCTGAAATTGTTTTGGTCTGTTCCGTTTAATACGAGCTCCACTTTAAAATGAGTACATCTCTCACTCTGTTCGGCTGACTGAACTCACCGCCAGTTTCTCACGTACCGAAAGTCCCAATAAATTGGCCTTCTGCTCCCATGGCAGAGCGTTTACGAAAATAGTATGTATTCTTTGTTCAGTCTGTTACGTTACATGTCAGTCCATATACTAGCCACACTCAATTCCTATTCTAAAAATATTAACACCCATAATATCACACTAGTTTCCTTCTTATACTCATTGGAATCATGCAAAGTCGATATACCACTCTACACTGCCTTATAAAGATTAATATGTATTTAAATATTGGGGAACTGCAATTAGCAAATTATGTCGATAGCACCAGCCTTTAGGGATTTTAATTTTAAAAGGCTTCATTTCATTTTGTGCTTAACGCTAAGGCTGGAAGAGATTAGCAATGAGCATTTTTCATGTGCAGTATTGAACAGGGAGAGGTTGTGATGGAGTAGATATTAAACGGAATAGTTCTTATTTCACAGTAAAAATTTGAATGCTAAATATTTAATTGCGCGAAATAGATGCACGTGTCAACTAGTACCATACTAAATTTAAAAATATATAAAAATACGCTACGACGTAAGTTCAAGTTTAGATAGGACACCGATCATACAAAACAATAAAATCATGTCAATGTTTAGAGTTTTACAATATTATCGTGCTACAGGAATGAGAGTACGTTCGATATCCACGTAAAAGTCGCACAACACTTGGCACCTTTTGAGTATTTACGCATTAACGCTACCATATCATAATATACTTAAACGTACCGGCTTTCTTCCAGAAAAAGACTACTATCTAGAGGAGGCACACACTTCAGGTCGACGAAAAGGATCTCGAAAAATATAGAAATAAATACAATCTTATTCTAAGAATATACAGTCCCACCGCGTGTGACACGGAACGGTAGAGTCTCGGTGCACAGGCTGCACAGGCTACAGTCTAATATCGTTGGAGGCGGCCGCCAGCAGCGACGTGCGCCGCCAGGCCGCGTCGTGCGCGTCGGCCGGCGTCGCGGGTGCGGCCGCGCCCGCGACGCCCGCCTCCGTCGCCGGCTCCGGCTCCGTGCGACCGAACGCGCGGCACTGCACGTCCTCCTGTGCGCCGTACCGGTGTAGGCTCAGGAACTTAAGGTTGGCCACGATCGAAGAATTTATCGGTCGAGTTGGGATGTTGACGGTCGTCGCCGAGCGTTCGATGCGTTTCGTCCGTCCGTCCGGCGGCGCCAGTTCCAGCGACTGTCCCCGCCCGTATAGTCTGGACTGGCCGAAGCGGGGTGTCAGCCGTCCAATGAGATTTTCCTCCTTACGCGTAGGTCGAGGCGCCGTCTGCGTCTCCTCTGGTGGTTTTGACTTTCTCTTCAGAAAGAAGGGCGTCAGGCGTTCGGCTAGCGGACGCGACGACGTAGAACCTGCGTCGTGGACATTAGACGTCGAGCTAGAGGTTTTCAGTGGTCGCGTTGAAGTAGCTTGACTTTTTATTGGGTTAGATTTTCGTTGAGCGCAAACTCGAGAAAATGGCCCTACGTCACGCTTCTCTTCAGTTGGTGTGGATTCCACGGGAGTTTCGGGTGTGGGTGGCTCATCCTCGCACACTTTGAGTACGCAGTATGCGTCCCGTTGTAATTCGTCGAGTAGGCTATCGTCCGTGGAGACAGCGTCGGTCCGGCAGCAGTCGTCGGACGGCAGGCTATGCTGGTCGGCGGCGCGCGACGCAGTGTCAGGCTCGGCGGGGCGCGGCGGGGGGCGCGCGCGGGACGTGTGCCCGCGCGGGGGCACGGCGGGGGGACTGTCGTCCCGCGCGTGGCTCATAAAGTCCGCCATCAGCTCGTACTCCTTGCAGCGGTACGTGACGTCACAGTCGGCGGGGTCGGGCTCAGCGCGCGCCCGTCGCTCCGGCGGGCGCGGCTCCACGTGCACGTACTCGCAGGCCGCGGTTCCGGGCGCGGGGTTCGCCAGTCCGGGGGATAGTCGTGCGGGCTTCGGAGGTCGCGCCGGCCTCTCGGCAGATGCGTCGCTGTCTTCGGAGGGTTCATGCTTTATACATGACATGGTGAGATACCCGCTGCCTGTGGATTTAGTGGATTTTCCCGAGGAGCGTTCGTCTGTATGGCGCGCCAGTTTGAGAGACTCGGTGCTGGAGCCTATGTCGAGCGAGTTCTGCAGTGGTAGAGTCTTGCCGTCGAGGTCGACTGTAGGTGAGGTCTCACTGCGCCACGGCCGCCACAAGAAGTGACCCCCGTCCACGGCCCCCGCAGCTCCAGCTAGGTGCAGATAGTTATCATCTCCGATGGGAGCTTGTTTGCTGCCATATTTTGTTTCTCGTGCTAATGACCGTCGGTATATGCGATGTCGATGTTCTAAATCGAACATGGTCTCCTGTAATTCGCGCAACGTGGCCGCTTCCGCTTCGCGTTCTTCTACGCTTGTACCCTCTGTGGACAAATTGAAAGTGACTATCAAATTCCCATATCAAGTCGCACCAAAACATGTTAAACCTAGTGTCAAGACAAATCCAATGTAGTTTTTGTAGTAAAATTATCATAAATAAGCAAGCGAGTCAAGTGTTTCGATAAAGGTGTAGAGTGTAGTTAGGTATGCTACCTTGCGGGCGATGCAGCCGGTCGTCGAGTCGGTGCGCGTGGGCCACCAGGAGCGCATGCAGGCGCTGCAGGTCGCGCGCGGGGTCGAGGCGCAGCGCCAGGGCCGCGCCGCCGCGCCGCACCTCGCGCGCGCCGCTGGCGGTGAGCTCGCGCTCGGGGTCGGGCCCGGCGCAGCCCTCGGCGGCGGCGTCGGGGCGGCCGCAGCAGGTCCAGTGGCAGTCGGCGTAGTACCCGCGGTGCGGCGCGGCGGCGCGCTCGTGGCGACACAGCGCGCTCAGTAGCCGCACCCACTCCGCGCGCTCCACGCAGTTGGCGGCCTGCACGAACAGTACTCGCTCGCGATGCACTGCGACATACATCAATATTTACTACACTGCCTTACTAAACTTGATAATACTACTGATAGTTAAACTTAGTGAGAAGTCAAATTTTACAATAAAAATACTTGTGTGAATACTGACCTATTTGGAAAATATTGTTGGCGCCGAGTGGAGCCCCAGCGGTGGGGCAGTCCACGGCGGCGACGGCCAGCACCCCGGACAATGGCAGGCGCTGCGCAGTCGCGCGAGCTCCTGTGCGCGACCATGACAACTCGCCACTACAACAAAACATAATACCATTTTTAGTACACTTTGCACTGTTAAAATCAATATAACGGATAAAACATACATTACTTGATTATTTTCTACAGTATGAACATTACAAGACTGAAAATAATGTATTACCTGGTGAGCCTGAAATGTCTTCGCTTAGCGTAAGCATGCGCGGCTCGAGTCCACCGACGGCGAGGCGAGCCTGCTCCCGTCCGTACTCCTTCCGACCGCTTGATCATCGTTCTGAAACATGACAGTGCAATAAGTACCCGTATATTCGTTCAGCATACTCTCACAACCAGTTTCAGTAAAATATCTGTAGATATTGTTTACTAAACGACCAAATTGTTTGCCAAACAAAGTACACAGTAAAAATAGACTAATACATACCCCAATCTAATCCAAGAAAGCACAAAAATACAAAATGTTGTTTAATCTTTGTTTTGATGTAAGAGGAGAAAAAAATCGATAACATTTATGTATCTACGTTTGAAAAAACAGCAGCATAAGCTTTCTTATATATCTCTTTAGAAAAGCGAAAAATATAAGCAAGACATAATAGCAAATTATATCTCTCTCTAATTTTTTTTTATAAAATCGGTCATTATGATTTTGAAAAGTATTCATGTTGTGTAGATGGTGTGTGAACGTACCCTTCTTTGAGCAGCACGGGCGTTTCTTGTATGTTGTTGTTCTGCGTGTCCGTGCTTGTGGAGATTATTTCGAGAAACTGCTTTATTGCTTGCACCTGCAATGTCACACGTTGAATTCAATATTACTGGTTTTGATATCTTTAGATTTGTAATACGTAATAATTTCAAAGTTCAGTAACATACAATGGTTTGTAACTCAATAATTATGTCAAAATATTATAGGATTATGTACATTTCTCACGGGAAAGGCCAGATTTCTTTCTTTAAACAAAGGCGTGTTTTCTTTAAACAATACAGCATATAAAATTTTCTTTATTGTAGAAACAAGGATTATTGATTGCGATGTATAGTTCTCATGAGACAAATATGTCTGCAAGTTATTTATTTATTTAAGGAAAAACAAACAGTAACATATTACAAATTATACATAATTCAGCTTACACATTAAACTTGGCTAATATGTTACCCATTACGTTCTCCACAGATTACTTTTTATATTAGAACTAGAGTTCATGTAAATAACAATTTATTCTGATTGAATGCAAGCAAGTACGGCTTGTACACATGGTTACACATCCAAGCTATATTAACCGGATTACCATGATCTCGCTTTGTATAGTCTATCTGCACGTTCAATTTTTCAGTGTATACCGGTTTTACATAAGTTGATGTGTACATTAGTTATCTCAATATATAAATAGTTTGACTACTATGTCTAGTCTGGCGGTACGTACATGTCTTGGCGTGCAGAAGCTGCGGTAGAGTTCAGCCATGTACTCCTCCTTGCACACTTGCTGCGCGGACCGACTGCTCACCAGGTTGCCCAGCGACTGAATCGTCTTAGAGATCAATGTCAACGTCCGGTTTGTTTGTGGGTCCTGCGGGAAAAGTACGAAATAATTATTATTTACAATGTAAAATAAAAACATGTTGTTAATCGTTTGGTTAAATTATAAATAACTTTAGAGACGACACTTAAAGTTGAACTTAACCATAGTCTTCTGCAAAGGATTAAGTTTCAAAAGTCATCTACAAGCAATAAATACTTACAATTTGCTCGGTAGTGAGATCAAAGAGCCTGGGTCCAAGTATGGCAGGCGCGAAGAACCTCAGGAAGATGAACCCTGAGACCACCGAGTACCGGACCTCAGCGTTCCGTGGGAAGTGTCGCGCCGCGCACTGTCGCAGGGCGTCGAACAAACGACACATCGCCGACGGACACATCGCGTACGACGAGGTTATCGCCGCAAACACCTAAGGACAAAATTCACATTTTGTTATGATTTGTGATAATTACCTATTGTGCCTATTTGTGCTAACGTTAAAAGAATCCATTACTAAGACTACTCAAGACAACAAGAAATTCAAAGAAAAGACATCACTCGATGAACGTCACATCATTCACATGTATGAAGGCACCATATGAGCACTACTATGGATCGACCAATGGTCATTTTCTCGCCTAGTAGGCAATGATGCTGCCTACGATGGACTTATCAGTTACGTCTTGACGACACGCATAACTTTCAGGAGACTGGCAAAGAATTATACTCTTTTCTTGTAAAGAAAGTTAATCTTAATAATAATAGAAACAACGTACCCGTTCCACATAGTCTTTCAAGTTGGCGAGGTTGGCAGTGACGGCGGCCGAGGGTTTGACCCGCGCGGGGTCTATCTCACATGGCCGTCGCTCGGCCAACACTGCGGCCAATGTTGGCCGTAACACCGCACGCAAGTACGACGCGCCGCTCAACCGCATCGCTTCGTCCATCATCTTCGAGACAAGGGTGTTGCCTCTAAATATCGTTGTTGCGTCACTGCAATGTTATTTTATTTGTTAACAATTGTTTATACAAACGTTGTTGTAAGATATGCTAAATAAATTATGAACCCCGGTGTCACTCGAAAACCTTCGAGGAAGGGTTAAAGCATTTCCAAATGGTTAATGAGCAATTTTTAATGTTTTTAATTAATTTAGAAAATACTTTATTGTTGTACAAACAACTTTTATTGTACTTACAAAATTCGTATTTTGTAATAAAGATAGATCAGTTGATAGTATGGAATCGACCGACATGGGCCGGACGTAGCATACAATCAATTTGATTGCTACTACTGTTCATGTCAAAATTCACTACATTTAAAGTTCACGCATTTGTGGGATAGATTGTTAACAATTAACAAGTTGATCATAACTGGATTGTTTAAAAGTATAAAACAATGTGAGGTACTCACGTAAGCGCAGATATCTCAGCATCTGCAAGCTCCTTGACAATGGGTACAATGAGATCATGATGAGTGAATAGCCTTACGAGGGGTTGCGCCGCGTCCGTCTTACTCGACACTATCTCCCCCAATATGTACACTGCCGACGCTGTTATGGGCTGAAAAATGATTACATTATTAATATTAGCTTATCTAGTTGTCATCCTTTCGTTTGCTGTGCCAATGTTTTGTCTGCGTCGGCAGACTAAACATTTATGCACAAATGGCATGTGTAAATGTCATATAAAGGATGCAGTGTAGTGTAGGCGTAGAAAAAAAAAACATAAGCGTATTCGATCTAAGAAATGGTAAATTCTTACAAAACAAACAAGGAGTTTTGTCTAATTATGTTTTAGACTTGGAGTTGTGTCCTTACCTTCTGATGAACACTCCGTAGAAACAATTCTTCAAGTGTCCTGTAGTGCTGCAGCGGGAAGACGTGGTCTACAGTGTACTGTAGCAGTAGTCGCAGCGAGCCCAGCGTGGCGCTGCCGGCGGCCGACAGCCGCGTGCCGGGCGGAGTCGCGCCGCGGGATAGTGCTCCTCCCGCACGAGACGTTAAGAAGAACCTGCCGTACAATTATATATTATTTATACATATCTATTATAAGTTCATTCGCAAGAACTCGGATTTGACTGCGGTGGTCTAAGTGGACCATTGTATCTAAAATCAACTCTTACCAGGCACGTAAAGGCGTCGGTGATGGTTGTCGCAGTTGCAGTCGTACTTCTCCCAGAAATATTGGTGTCGCAGCATCATGCCACACCGATACTCTGGCTTCGCAGGCCACTCCCGCCTGGAATTCGATAACATGACTGTTAAATAAAAGATGCTTATGCAAAACGGGCATAGAGCAAAAAATCTCATTGTGAAATAACTTACCGTTTGTGAGCCATCTTTATCTTTGGGATCTGCGTCCATAACGAGATCAAAACAAAAAATTTCATCAAATTGTGGATTAACAGTCTTCTTTTTAGGTTTCGTACGTTTTTCAACTCTTCGTCCGTTCGAATATAACAACGTGACGAGAGCAAACGGGTCACACTGTCCGTTCTTAGTGGTTAACTCAGAGCATTCCAGCACTCGTAGTCGTAGGGTGTCATGTCCTACTCGCGCTGCGCAATGCCTTTCGGGGTCTGACCAGTAGTCAGCGGCGGTGGGGGTGGGGGACGCATCAGATTCAGGCATCGCATGCATGGGAGGCTTCGTGCGAGCTGCCCATTGCGCCCGATCCTTTAAACTTTCCGATCGCGATAACGAAAGAGAGGGCTCCGTCGCTACCGCACTCAGAAGCTTCTTGCTAGTAGAACTCGAGCAAGAACCAAATCTCATACTCTCCTTACAATATTCAGATAATCTTACGAGGTTATTTCCTTTAGTTTTTGTCGAGCAGTTGTCAACGGTAGGATCCGGGTCGGGAGGTTTCGGTTCCATTCGTAATCTTTTTCTGGAGTCTTCAAGGGTGAGTTCAATGTATGCCTTTCCTTGTACCTCAGAGTCGGCGTCGACCGGTCGTAACGCAAACCAATGGTCTTTATTGTTATACCGGTGCAAATCTTCTCTTTTGATCGCCACTTTACCGAGAACTTTGTCTTGTTTAAGGTGCTTGTCACGATCGAACACGTATATGGAAAGATATCGAAATCGTCGCGGCACCTCGAATTGGAACTCCTCGCCAAAGAATGGACTGGAACAAATAAAAACATTTTTAATTAGGTATACAAGCCACAGGTAGATTTTGTTAGCATTAGCATATTTCAAGTCCTGTATAATACATATAACGTCAAATAATCGTTATCAAGCTTTCGACGGCGCGCTAATTTATAGTCGGGTTGCAGCCTAGTTGTAGACGCGTGGGGTGTATGCCTTGCACGAGTGTCGCCGTCAGATTTGCCACCCACAGTTAATGAATAATTTTATGTAGGTACTGTAGATAATGTAATATTTAGTTTTAATAAAACTGTGTCATATTTCAGAGACTCGTAGGTTCGAATAGAGTTTTAAGAATAAGAGTATATATTTAACATAAACACGTTGCGAAATCTGAGGAAACTGATTTATTGAATCGAGTAATATAATATCAGCATTCAGATGAAACAATAAAGACATAATGAACAATGGTTCCTTCAAAGTGGGTTATAAAACTCTGTGGTGATTTTGAAGTAAATGAAAATTCAAATCGTTTAACTGACTTGTCGCTGTTAACACAATTAGATCTTGAAATAAAACAAATGTTCAGAGATTCTATCCTGATAATGAAAGTGGTTGGTAAAATGGTAAACGAAACGACTTTCATTCAAATGTACCTACTGTCTTAATCAGATATGTACTCGATTGCAAATGGAATAACCGAACGTCGTAACAACTGAATGAAATTAAATTTGGAACAGCTTGGTATTTCCTGGAGAACGCAGTACTTGCAATCCCGGAAAGGGGGATAATAAAAGACGAAGCAGTGGCCATAATGTAGTAATAGTATTCGGTAAAGAGTGAGTATGTAAACAATGCCGAGTTCATGATGTAAGCTGTAGTGAATGCGTGGGACCGCCTCGCTCAAAGGAGAAAGTTTGACAATCCCGGTGACACCTCTATCTCACAACCTAATAATAAACCACGCAACTTGAAAGTGGATTCTTTGTGACAAAAATAATTTGCACTTATTTAACTTAGTCGTTAACATATTTGTGGAGTAATTATAGCACAATTTTAGGAATTCATTTCAGTTTTCTTCTGATTTCTAATGAAATATGAAACGTAATTAATGGTTATTCATAATTACACCGCTAGTCAACGAATTACAATTAAAAATACATTACATTCTTGAATGATGAATTCATTTAACTTAGGGTCACGATTTCTGTCAATTTTATTTCGTGTTTGTTCCTAGAATAGCGCAATGATTTGTGCAACCCTAATGAATAAACATGAACTATACGTACTTCCAAAGAACATTACGTATCTATTTGTAAAACACGATAATAACTCAATAAAGAGGTTTATTGACTCGCACGGAGTGTACGTAGGTATAAGAAGCTCGCAGTATATCGAGTTGGTGGCAGGCTCGCAGGCGCATCCGGCGCCGGCGCAGTATTTATAAACCGGAGGCGGAACCGCACCAGCTGAGCGGGGGCAGCCCAAGCTCACTTGCTATTGCACACACTTCACGCCTATAATTTTAATAGGTCGATTTGATTTACTGCTACCATTCATTGAATAGCATAACAACTATCTACACTATTTATTTATTTACATTTATTACATTCTGCCATTGTGTATTTTACAGACTTTTACTTCAGTTAATATATAGGCTACAGCCGACAGTGCTCTGTTATAAACAATTCAGAGCACGTGGAAACATCAGGAAACGTACCTTTAATTGAAATTGTTTCGAATGTTCAGTAGGTCGATGCACGGAAGCGCATTTTTGGTTGAACTATGAAACTCGTTTATAATACGCACAGTATCGGGTCGAGAGCACAAAATAGCACAGGGTAGAAACCAGAGCAATGCACTTAAGACAGCCGCTACTCCGGGCCGGGGACGGCTCAGGCGCTGGCGATGATCATTTTACGTGCCACGCAGTTCCGGGACCAATTTATCACTTAAAAGCTTCCGTTTAATGTTGACGCGATTTTTATGAGTCTCTCGTCGAAATCGTCTTTGTATTTTTCTTTTTGTTTCAAAACCAAAGCCTAGTGTCGTTTTATCACATAATTTATTTTTTTTTCGATTTGTAATAGCAAAAGGTTTTCTCTTCAGGTGTTTCTAAACTTTTACAATGTTTACTTTGATTAGGTTCATTCGGTTAAATACAAACTACCTTTCCCAGATTTTTGTAGTGTAAGAATTTTATGTGGAATACATATATAAAAATATTTGCTTAAATGTTATAAACATAGGTATTCTGCTGAAGTATTATTTATTAACAACGTTCACGAGAGAACAGTAATTGTAAGGAAGGCAGAGTCAGACTGCACACACAAGGAACTAAATAGGTTTATTATCAGTAGGTACATAGTTAGTGAGGCACAGATAGTTTGGACAGAGGCACATAGTAAGTGCAGTGATAAGGTATCGCGAGACAAAGAACCCATTAATGTGGTGTTATAATGTAAATAAATTAAATTAAATAAAATTAATTAGGAATATATAATAATAAACTGTAAATGTATGGACCCAATATGTCTGAAATAAATTTATTTTATTTATTTTATTTATTTTTTATTAAATTAACTCGACGAGTGACGTGACATTTCCTTCGATATCCGCCAGTCCACTGTGGCCTCACCTCTTGGGTCACAAAATCATTATCGCTTCCGTTCATTAACAAGCAAAACAGACTACCATTACAGATAAACAATGACACGTATTGACGTTCTCTGTTTCATTCGAGGTGTCATTAGGGAAACACAGATTTGCTTTATTACAGAGGTATTTTTATTACGGCAAACCGCATTTTTATTCACCAGAAATATTGTGACCAATATAAAATCATTAAATACTAACAAGTGCATTGACTTCTAATAACTACGTATTCGTAAATTAACAATAACAACGATGGACTACGTAGGTGGTGCTTTTTAATAGGTAATGAAAAGAATTCGAGGAGCAGTTCCCACAAGTAATCAGGGGGAGCATAACCGGCGGCAGTAATTAAAATCATTGCTGCGGCGCGGCTGTCTTTTATTCATTCTAAAAATTGAATGGCAAGGGGGTGAAGCGGAAGGGACGTTCCGCATCGTCGCACGCGTACCGGAAGCACGTCCGGGACGTGGCGCGCCGCAGTGCCCGCCCTCCCTTACTATACAATAGCGCCTCCCCCGAATTATACGTGTTATCAAAAGCCACACCGCGCCGCTTGAATTAATTGTGACTAATGTTTAATTGATGACAAATCATTCAGCACGTTACCAACGCTGAGCAGGTGGCTTTGTATAAAATGTGATATGAATGGGGTATACAAACATACGCAGCTCATTCATACTAAAACTAACTTTATTCGTTAGGTTATGTTTTTACTTTAGATATAGCTACGTAAATGTTTTTGAATACTTTGTAATAACTCTACACAGTATCAAAATATGTTTGTCAGATTGTACCTATGTATAAAACCTCAGTGACACATGGTCGTGAAAGCGCCGGAAGTAATACATATCATATGCAAGAGATTAGGAGTGTGCGCTTGCGCATATTCGTGACGACACATTAATGTTTCGAAGAAAGTTACCCACAGTTCAGTCGAACCTAGGGCATTGGTTTAATTAGAATATTTAGAATAGCACGTTTTCTAACTGTAATTAAAGGCGCGAGTACCAGAAACTCTGTGATATTTTAATTGCTAAGGGATTGGTGACAACTTCGACAAGTGGTTGAGTTCTGCATAACATAATGTTATGAATTAGTCAGAGTATTTGTTCTGTTATTCCAACGTAGAATACTCCCGTAGTACGCCACCATTAATTGTTTCAATTAAATGTACCTCTGCCACTTAAAATAGTTCATTCATGAATAGTAGAAACCTTGACCTATTAAATTGTTTGCTCTCCCTAAATGTTGGTAAACGGTTCCCACATGATAACGACGGAAGTGAGACCGGACACCGGACAAAGGATCCGTTATTATTATGTCAATTCGATTCGAACGTACGTAACGTTCCTGTTTTGTACAATTTGTGAAGGGTCCAAAAAAGAATATCAAGGGAAAATTTATGGTTAACCGAAACTTAAAAAAAAATGTGTTTCGTTATAGTAATTAGTAGATAAAGAAACTGTAGAAGCCTACAGTTTGCTTTTTATTGGTTGAAATTAATTACTCCAAATTAAAAATTCATAAGTACCTACCTAAACATTTTGAATCTTGAACGCTAAGCCCATTAACGAGAAGTTACCAAATAAATACATACAGGTTTACAAAGCCTAAGCACCTAGATATATCTTACATACATTCTAAAAGGAGTTAAAATAACTTACTTGAGAGTTCTCTCCATGGTGGAAGTGCGAAATATTTCTTCTTGGTCGAGCGACAGCACACAGTAAATATCACGGTGGCAGGCCGCCCCATGGCTGCGCCCTGGCAAATTTTTGGCTTCACCTGAAACAAAGAACGGATAAAATCAATATCAGATGAAAAGAAAAATTTTACGAATGGAAATAGGAAAGTTCAGTTCCTTTCTATGGCTGCCATTGGTGATACACAAAATATTCTAACTACACGAGTTTGTGAGTTCCCGTTATAACAACAATGGTTTTTTTGACTTAGGTATGCTCTTCCGCTTTCCCTATCTTACATCGACAAACATAGTATTTCAGAAAACTGGTCTAATGACCGTAGATCAAATATATATTTACAGTATGTGTATTCTCATACGGAAAATACTAAATAAGTCCATACACACAAACATATCCTTCACAAAAAAATCACAAGTCCAACAACGTTTATTGAGAAATGCTAACAATATATGCTTGCAACCACCACGCACTGTCAATTACGGAAGTAAAAACATCAAATACGAAGGGGTTCAACTATATAATAAACTACCAAATGATATAAAGGAAATAAAGTCATTTCCTTTGTTCAAAAAGAAGTTAAAGTACTATATATTAAAACTACCAAGCAAATAATCTTTATAACTAAACCACATAATTTAAATCCATATATCTAATTAACAAAAGGGAAAGAACATGCGTAAATAGTTATACTATAAAAATAAAACAAACAATACTCCATAACCTCTTGCATACATTGCGTAAACATGCACACACATACGATGTTAATTATTATTTCATTATTTTATGATGACTGCAAAAAATAATAAAAAAAAGTGTGGCACGGTATTGATAGTTTTCCGTAACATAATTATTATTGTACATCTGTGATAGCAACTAATGTGTTTCGAATCTTCGATACGTAATAAGACCATTGCCATTACAAATTCCTATTAGTAAAACCACAATGTTTGATATTCTCGACACAATATTTTTAAGATTACCCTCGACTACTCAAAGTAATTTTATTGTGTATGTTTTAAGTATGTACCCAATGTAATATTTTGGTTCATAAATACGGATATATTGTTTCGGGCACTGTTTCGCATTCTGTACCTACTTATGTATATTTTGTATTTCTCAGTCAAGTCAATGTAAATTGTTTTTGAGAAATAAATGTCTTAAACCGAAAATACTCCAATTCCCATTGCCATACTTACGCAAACATTATCTTGTTTTGTGATCAACGACAACGTTATGTCAAGTGACATTTCAAGTACTGCTAGTTTCCCATAGTTTGCATCTTATTGCTTATTTTATAGAGCTTGCGAAAAGACCTTGAGTGGTTGAAATTTCAATGGACGTTAATGTAGCTTTCTAGTTTTTTTAAGATGTTCTGCAATGAGATGGTTTATTGCATAATGTGCCCGAAACAAGTATTTTTCCCAACGAACAAAGAAGTAGTTAGAGCACATATAGTAAAACTTTGCAAGTACATTTTCATTGCGCACTTGCGCAGCGCATTTAACTCAAATATAATTAAGAATTTGTACAAGTACAGGATTGCAAAATGTTCGTGATGGGGGTCTTTCAACATCGCTATTTTTTTTTATTATATGCCAACTGTATTCAAAGCAGTGTTGCCCAAGGCATGCTCTTCCCAATATAATTTGTGTGTCATAGGTATTATAGGTATTTACAAGAATAAGTTAAAATAGTCATACACTTAGTGTTTCGTGAACTTTGTATCTCAGCAAAAGGGTGAGCTCAGCCTCTAACTGAGAGGCTGTTTCAGCGAAACACTAAACATGGCCATTTCTTTTTTTGGACACAAGTCTGAAATAATGATGTATAAAGGCGGAGGGACCAATGGAGGTTGCGCAACATGTTGCGACCTCGTCAGTAATCGCTAAATACGGAGAAGCAAGGTGAGGCGACCATCGGCCCATAAGCAACTATTGCTCTGACGTTTACTTGCAAAGTAAACTTGTCGCTAATTTATTCTACGTACATAATCTCTGCAATCTTATGACAGCTTACCAACAATGAGTATAAATTGTAATTTACTTTGAAAGTACATTCACAATTAAAGCCATTACAATGATACAAGCGGTCACAGCCGGTCAGCTGCACGCCCATGGCTACAATTTGACATTGACAACGCCTTGTTTCGTGGCGGTAAGGGCAGTTCGTAGTTCAAGTGTCACAAGTTGCGTGTGGTTTACAATACCAACACACTTATTACCGCGTATAAAGTACAAGTACATGTTCAATTGATTCCATAGCACATTTGTGCTGCATGATTGCATATTGTAACAAGAAACATATTCCCACTGTTTTCTTTAGCCGCGTAGTAGACAATACAATAAGAGCGCCATGAATGGCCCGTTTGTAAGAGGAACATGACGAAATGTTATTCTAAGTAGCTACTATTACAAACACAGATGTAGTACATAGACTAGAATCTAGGTGCTGACACGATGAACATATTTGCAATAACTTCCTTATTACAAAATAAATAAGGACGGTCGCCAGGCAAAGGTTTGAAGATACGTACATATGATGAAAAATGTTTCAAGTATTCGGTTTGTATGCCAGGAAATATATTTGAAAATGTCGCTATGGATAACAATTCAATAACATACGTAACAGCAGGAGCAAGGTTTTGAGGATGACTGCAAATGTGGGTGCTGTATGACAGGTTTGAAAAGGAAGAATTTATAGTTATACATACGGATAAAACAGCCGCGTTAAATTGCAATCAGGTACATACATGCCAACTATATATAATAATATAAGGAATAAAGCAGCAATGTCATAATTGTGATATAGGATAACGAGATCAACAATTGGTCTTCATAAGTACATTTGTAATAAAATAAATTATGGTCATCAGCCTTTTTGATGTATCTTTTAGAGTACCTACACAATTTCTGTGCTTCGTGTTGCGAAACAATAATGAATAATCTGGTGTGACAGTCGCTCAATGTCCGAATAATTTCAAATTGATGGAGAAAGTTACAAGTTCCCCGGAAGACCCAACTTTCCATATTTTTTCCCATGTAATACATATTAGGTACCTCGAAGTCTAATAGAGAATTACCATGGTGAGTGTAGTTAAAGGGATCGAAATGATTAATGATGGACTTATGAAACAACTGTGACGAATTAAAGATAACTTATTTCCAGTCATTCATATTACTCTTAGGATTAAAATGTATTAGTTGTTCAAGTGTAATTTAATAACACACACAAAATAACAAGTAATGATTGCGTGACGTTTCTCTTAACCCTACGTAATTACTCAAACAAAGATGGATGACGTAATGTTAAAATAGTAATAGGGATTTGTGTTTTGATCCTAATTTCCTGGTTTCAGGAAATAACCAATAAGTACCTATAACTGTCCGTGACCGATACTGATATTGTACCTACAATAGCGATACCCAATGCACTTATTTAACACTCGTTGAGACGATAAGAAAAGTGATAATCATTGTTTTCAGGTGCCGATAGTTAGATACGGGTAGTACCTACATCAATTCTATTTCGTGGTAAAAACCTACCAACTTGAACTTTCATACATTTTTTCTTAAACAAATTGGTCAATTAAAACGTAGCACGTAATTGTTGTAAATTGAGGCACGCTGCGATAGTTAGGACCGTTAAACAAAGGAAAGACCTTCCTGCGACTCTCACAAATTCGTAATTGTAGTGCTAGAGAAACTCACAACAAACTGTACATAATTGCTGATGCAAAAACAACCGTCATCATCATCAACATGACAGTAACACACGCCACTAAACTGGATCGTGGGAGAGAAACGGGATCCTTTGAATAGCGCCATCAGCCACTGAGGAAACGAATACGCACCAGCTATTTAGCCACAGCCACAATGGCGATCATTAACATGTTTCCACACGCTCCTATGCGTAGTGCAATTGTTTCGAAATCGAGAGTATTTACCTACCTCAGCTCGCTGACGGAGCGCCTGGGAACTGTTTGGCGAACAAAGTGATCGATTTCGATATCGTTTTAAGTATCACCGGAAAATAACAAGGTCATGCTATATCGTACCCTTCGTGTTTCGTACAGATAATGAATGCCTTGGCTTTACACTGCCGGATCAAGCTTATCAAGTCAACGTTCTCTCGAGAGTCAAGTCAAGACGGATGTCGAAAATGTCGCTCATTTATACAGCTTGGTAAACGGTAATGTTAGTCTGTCCTAGTCTTAGATTACATTGTTTACTATGAAAGGAAGATCACTCATCAATTCATCATGGTCATAAAACTGATTTCCACCAGACGCTTTATTCATAAAAATATTTACCACAAAAACACGTGTTAGCTACCAACTGGTAAAGGAAATAGCGAATTTTCAACTCCTGCTTTATTTTAAAGATTCCCGGGAACAAACAAATCATAAATCACTAATTAGTAAAATTAGGTACTTCTGCGTACCTGTTGTGTTTATCTATATCTATACTCTTGCAGGTCGACAGCCTCGTTGTTCAACGTGATGAACTCAGAACATTTATTGTTACACCGATGGTTATTTTGTTTCTTCTACTAATCGCTTGCGCCAAAACTTTATCTTAGTATGATAATATCAATTGTATGTTATCATCTTGCGTTTGGATAAACCTCTGCTTTGAATAAATATTAGGTAAGTAGGTATTTTATTCGTTTTTATAATCAACTCGTCTATTTAGCACGTGGGTGGAAACCTACGTTGGTAGTATAATATCCAGCGACCCAAGACGTTCACCCACGCTGCATTGGATACAATCGGTACTGTGCAGGTGGGTTGCGAAGTAGAACGTAGGTACTTTTTGCAAAAACGTAAACCGACTGGAGTCACAAATTTTGCAACATTAAATTGCTTCACATAATCAACATAACAGAAACAAGTACACCGGAGAAAATGTGATTTTCTTTCCTTTGAAAGTTAAAAAGTGAAAGACGATATCTACATTGTACTCGGCCAGTGTGTGGATGTATACTGTAATTACAAGGTATACTTTCTCATCTGTGCATTATATCGCAAACGCCTTCCAGTTGTGCGTGCCTATACTGTTTCATTGTTTGTTAGACGGACAAAAT